ATTAATCACGGTATAAATTGATTAAAGTGGGTATTTTGGTTACACTTTGATTGATTTTTGGGCGATATTGGTGGTGAGAGCGAAGTCAACCACTGCACTTTGAAGGAAGTTGTTAGATTTTGAGTTTATCTAAGATTTGTATGTTTAAGTTAAGGTTTTTGGATTTTAAATTTCTACGGTTTTTAGGTTAATGAGATTATTGTTGTGAAAGTTTGTATTTTTATGGAGGTTGTGAGTGTTCGTGGTGTGAATGTTGTTGTGTTTGATGCGAATAAAAGTGTGTTGGTTCTGTTTGTGTCGAATTTAAGGAATTGTAGTTGGTTCGACACTTGGTGTTATTTTTCTAATTAGCGATGGAAAATACGCCAAGTGGGGAATCTCTTGTAAAGTTTACTAGTTGGCGTAAAAAATTACTCCAATTGTTTTAAAAATATGTCAATTGGTGTTTTTAAAGTACAAATTTTGTCTTTCTCTGTTGGCTTAATTTTCTACGCTATTATCATAAAACATTTTGTTCATTGACATATTTTTTAGCCAATTGGTTTATTAAGTTACACCAATCGTGAAAGAGTGAATAACAAGACACAATCATTTTAAGTTAACATCAAAAATGAAAATTTGAAAGGGTATAACGATTTTAAGTTAAAGATTAATCTTGTTACTTGGATTTAGTGATTTTACTTGCTTGATATTATGTTTTTGGTGTGAGAGATTGTAGATGAAAGTTTGACAATCATAGGGTTTTGCTTAAGTGTTGGGAGGTTGGGGATGAAGGTATAATAGTATTTAAATAAAGAAGTTTGTTATATTGGTATAGGGTTTGAAATTTTGGTTAATTACTATAAACCCTGGAAATTTTGGTTATTTTATTAAAACTCACAATAATACTAAGAGTGTGCAAAAAACCTGATATCCGATTCGGATCTGCTATCTGATCTGATCCAAAAAAACCAGATATCTGAAAATCCGAATCGGATATCGTATTGCAATATTGGGGTATCCGAATTTTCGAATCATAAACCAATTTAGGGTTTTAGGGTTTGGAAAAAATCGAATATTTGATCCGATCCGGTGTTTTAGCACCCCAACCCAAATATTATTTCCCAAAATACTATTACACCCTAAAACACAAATCCCTAATACTTTTTCCCCCAAATTAATAACAGAGAACAACTCTAAAACAAACAACAATTGTGAAGTTTTGATTTTGGCTTTGCCTTTATCGTCTTCCCCTTTATAGTAGTCATCACCCCAGCCCAAAAGGGAGGCACTAGAGTAATCGCAAGAGGATTGCCAGAAGATGGCGTCGGTCCAACTCTCCCAAGCACCTTCGGTCAATTGTTGGAGGGTTTCTTGATTGAAGGGTTGTGAAGACAAAGGAAGGTGAGTTTTGGAAGGGTTAGGTGTGGATGTAGAGGATTGAGAAGGAGCCCAAAGTAGACAATTTCTACTTGGTTGAGTTCAAGGTATGACAGACCACACGACCCCTTTAGCCGCCACGATTTTGGCCAAGATAACCATGTCCATTCTACCTCAACCACATCAATTTTTTAAATTTATTTTTCTTTGACTTCATTTTTTTCAATTTTTGGTTAAATATTGTGCATCATGAGTTTTGGGTTCATAATTCGTAGAGTTTGACTGGATAATTAGTCTTTATTTAGTGTTGTACGAGAATGTGTGAACAGCTCAGAGCGGGCAATAGCTCGGAGCGAGTTGTAGCTTGGATCGAGTTGTAGCTCGGAGTAACTTGTGAGACGACGATTAGACAGAAGCGGGCTATAATAAGAAGTAAAGCAAGTTGCTAGGTAATTATGTTCCAAACCATTGATGAGTCTTATCTCTTTGGACAAGCATTATCCCCTAAAATCAAGGTGAAGATCACAAGATTAACCCTCTACAATCTTGATAGGATCATTACACCAAATATCATGGGATTAACTTCCCAAAACGCAAGCCATTATCCCCAAAAACACTCTGGTAACAGTTATTAACCTAGCAATATTTAAACCCCCTCAATATCATTGTAAGGGGGTTAGCAATTTTAGAGTTGGAAATTATTCTTGTAATCACAATTATATTAATAAGATAACAGAAGACATAGACTTGAGAGTTAACTTGTCGAAAAAATCATTTTGCATATTTATTCTCAATTTACTTGCTGATTATTTATAATCACGCGGTCATCTTATCCGATTCTGTCAAGATCAATTGGATATCTTTGGTCATTGCGAGATTTCGTAACAACATTTTAGCGTTAGAAGGAGGGGCTTCCCTTGACAATCTCAATCATTGCAACCGCCACATAGAGATGGCAACAGGTCCGGGTGGGATCGAGGACCACTATCCTCATGCTTGTCCCCATCCCTAAAAAAAAGAGGGAATCCTCGACCCGTATGGGGCGGGTCCTCGAAAACCCAGGTCCATTTGTCATCTCTACCACCACGCCATCACTTGACAACAATGGTACGCAACATTCTACATAATAACAAGAGCAAACGACATGTTCCCACCCAAGGTTTAGCCAATTCCCAAGTTCATACCCCTGGTTCTATTTATTTCATATTCCCACCCTTAAACTAACACTGTAAGTTAATTTTAAATTTTGATTTTTGCAATTACCATTCTGCCCTTGGTTCTTATTTCACCCCACCCAACCACCATCACCCTCACCATCCAGCCACCACCACCACCACCCACCAAACCCGATCGCCGTTTAGGCCCAATTTGGTCTGATTCCGACACCGATTGACCAACCCAACACCACCATCAGGATCCTCTCATCTCCCTCTCGAAAACCCCTCTCATCTCTAGCTGTTTGCTGCCACCGTTCGTCGACCACCGCGCCCAATTTGTTCGCGTGCTGCAAGCAAAATTCTGGTCTCTCCCGGTGCTGGAAATCAACCCTGTTACCACCAATAGCTTCACCAACATCCCACCTCAAAAAGCCCCAAACAGATCCAACATGGTTGCTCGTCATTCGCCGTTCGTCACTCCCCTTACGGTTTTGCGATTTTGGTGAAAATTAGATTTAATTAGAGGTTGATTCAGGATTTTACACGGAGTTTGTGGGTGTGTGATCGATTTAGAGGTTGATTATGTTTGTTTTCGAAGTTTTTTTGTTGTTTTTTGGGTTGGATTGATTTTGGGTTGGCTTGTTGGTTTAGTCATGAATTGCAACGGGTGGTGGCCGGTGATTGGGAAGCAACGGTGGTCAATGTTGGTAGGGGTTTTATTCAGGAGGAAGTGAAGAGGCTAATGGTGGTGAGTGGTGGGATTTTGGAGTCGAAAAACCACCGGAATTTTGCTTGCAGCACACGAACAAATTAAGCGCGGTGGTCGACGAACGGTGGCAGCAAACAGTTAGAGATGAGAGGGGTTTTCGAGAGGGAGATGAGAGGATCCTGATGGTGGTGTTGGGTTGGTCAATCGGTGTCGGAATCAGGCCAAATTGGGCCTGAACGACGATCGGGTTTGGTGCGTGGTGGTGGTGGTGGTGGCTGGATGGTGAGGGTGATGGTGATGGTGATGGTGGTTGGGTGGGGTGAAATAAGAACCAACGGTAGAATGGTAATTGCACAAATCAAAATTTAAAATTAACTTACAGTGTTAGTTTAAAGGTGGAAATATAGAATAAATAGAACCAGGGGTATGAACTTGGGAATTGGCTAAAGCTTGGGTGGGAACATGTCGTTTGCTCTAACAACAATTTAGTACTTAACATATTTTTATTAATAGATTTTAATGGTAGAAGGGTTAAAGTTTTACTTTTAATACTGTAGGAAATACAACTAAAAGTACATAAAACATCGAGCATTTCTGTAGCATAAATAAATTATTTAACAAAAAAGAATTATTTTTTATTTTACATTCTACATAATAACAATTTCCTAAGGACTAATTTAAGGTAGTTCTTCTTAAATCCCTAATATGTTGTTTGAATTTAGAGTGACACACAGTTTCTTTATTTTTTTTCAAATGATTTTTTGTTAAGAAATAATAATTTCTTGAAATACTAAAAAGGAAAAACTCTAACAATTTTAACGAAAATTCTTTAGAATAAGAAAGTTTAGAAGTAATTTTGAAATGTTTGGAGATATTTTTACCTAAATAGAAACAAATAAATTTGAATAAAATAATACTTGGATTACAAAGATTCTATACAAAGTTTTTTCTACAAAGTGACATGTCAGATTATGATAGGATGAATTAATATAAAAATATTAATATAATAAATTCATATAAAATGATAATGAATATAAGAATAACGTCACATCAATTTATATGAATAATTTTATATAAGTCTTTATAAGTGTAATATATTAATAAGAAAATGAATGATTATATATAAGTTTTTATAAGTGTAATATATTAATAAGAATGAATAAATACGAGAAAAATAATAAATAATATTATACTCACAAACATTTCTTATTAATTTTTTCTTATAAACATGATGTATTAACTCACAATTGATGTATTAACTCAATTCAATTCATATAGGTTTTATTTGTTCAACGATATATCTCGTCTGATTAAATCAATTATAAACTGTCGTGTGCATTAAAGAGTTCAATAAAAAGTGTTTGTTTTAAAATAAAATAAAAATTAAAAAAAATCACCTAGTCCCAAGTCGTGAGTCGAAAATTGACAGATGGCAGAAGAAGAGATCTTAAGAGTAGCCTTAGTACATCTCCCATCCGTGTGATCCAATAGCAACCTTACATCAATATTCCACTTCACAACTCCTTATCTTAAACAGCGGACGGACGTAGTCCGAGTGTGGTTTTCCTTAGCCAAAGAGACACGTGTAAGCAATCCGATGAATGTAAAAATAGATTAAATAAATAAAGAGAAAGAAATAAAGAAAATAAGAGAGAGAAAGAAGCTTCTGGAAAGGACCTTAGACCTCGCACTTCTGGCGCCTTCCTATCCTGAGTTGGGACCATCTTTTTTGCCCTTTTCTTCCTTTTTCTTTTTTTCTATTCCGCTTTTTATTTCCCTTTCCTTCTCGAACCCACGATTTCTCTCTCTTCCCCCGCCTTATCATTTACTCCACCCCGAACTTTCTAGAAACAACACAACCTAACACACACGCTCATCTCTCTCCCCTCTTTCTCCGAGATCAATCAACGTCTTTCTTTCCATCACGCTGTTTCGGTGTAAGGTCTTTGATTTCAACTGTTTATGATTCAGGTGAACGTACTTCTTTATAGATTAATGGAAGTTCTGCCTATACCAGGTAAAAAAACAAAAAAGCTCATCATTTGTTTATTTTTTTCTAATTAGGAAAACTGTTACAGTTGAATTTCCTTCACTTAAATTGTATCTGATGAAAGTTTGTGATAATCAGATTAAGTTAAGAGCAAAGTAGAGGGCAATAGATAGAGTTGGGTAATTTAGTTTGAAGGGTTGGGATCTGAGACCTAACCCGATGGCACCGGGTGAGCAAACGAGCGAATCTCCAACTGCCACAGCTGCAGACTCGCAGAGATCTCTTCCGACGCCGTTTTTAACTAAAACTTATCAACTAGTTGATGATCCATCTGTGGATGAACTCATATCATGGAACGACGACGGATCGACCTTCATAGTTTGGCGACCAGCTGAATTTGCCAGAGATTTGTTGCCTAAATATTTTAAGCACAACAACTTCTCTAGCTTCGTCCGCCAGCTCAACACTTACGTAAATCACTAACTAATTATTATTAATCAGTTTTGTAATTAGTTATAAATAAAAACAAACTTAACATTCAATTAATGCAGGGATTCAGGAAAGTAGTTCCAGATCGATGGGAATTTGCGAATGATTGTTTCCGACGAGGCGAGAAAAGTCTTCTACGAGACATTCAGCGACGTAAAATCTCAGCGACAGTCGCTGCATCCACTGTTACCGTGGCTGCGGTGGCACGTGCCGTTTCGCCGGCGAACTCGGGTGAGGAGCAGGTAATATCAGCGAATTCATCACCCGCGGCGGCGCCTGAGACCACTGTGATCCGTACAACGAGTTGCACGACGATGCCAGAGCTTCTGGAGGAGAACGAAAGGTTAAGAAAAGAGAATATGCTGCTGAATCACGAGTTGACTCAGTTGAGAGGATTGTGTGATAGTATACTTTCTTTAATGACGAACTACGCCGCTGGTCAGTTAGACACTGTGAATTTACCGGAAGGGAAGGCTGTGGAGTTTTTACCGGCGAGGAAGGCGGAGGACAGTGGTGCGAAGGCGGAGGAAGTGGACGTGACGCCGAGGTTGTTTGGCGTCTCAATCGGAGCAAAGCGTGCAAGGAGAGAAGAAGAAGAGGAGAATAATCAGGTGCAGCAACAGGAGGGTGAAGGTGGATCGGATGTGAAATCAGAGCCGTTGGATGGTAAATCTCATAATCATCAGGATCCTCCGTGGCTGGAACTAGGTAGTAAATGAAGAAAAATGACGGGAGGAGACTAGAGATTGGATTAATATGAAGTGACACGTGTCGGATGGAGGGATGGAAATTTGCTAAATATGGAGTATCAGATGTGTGACACGTGATGGTTATGGTTAATGTCTGGGAAAGTAGAGTCCTTGACTTGACTAGTTGTGTGCTGCTAGAAAAAGCAGCACTTTGGATCCAAGGAAGGAGTACAAAAAATGGTGCAAAAGTGAAAAGAAACTGGAACAAAAAAGGCAACTTCTTCGAGATTAATTTTATGGGTAGTGAGCAAATAGTTAATTAATTGGTAGGTTTAAGCTTGATAATTGGAGCTGAAACCTGTAATTTATGTTACAATTACAAATGTATCCCAAGCTAAGCTTTGAGTTTTCAATTTCCGAATTTAATTTATCCTTTAATGGTGGCATAAATGGAATGCTGTTGATAATGATGAATACCAACATTCCTTTTCCTTCTATTTCAGTTGTGTCTGACTACACAATCCAAAGATGTGGGAGTGTAGATAGGCTTTGGGTTTGGCAAAGTCAACTCTAAAAATATGGACTTTTGTGAAGTACAATTTGGCTTTGGTCTTCATCGCTGTATTGCATATATTCTTTCTGGCCAAAAGCTACAAAATTTGGTAATAAAATTCAAGATGCGATTGTTCTCTGCTGACTGAATGTTTTGACGTGCACATTTTACATCCATTTTCTTACATAATTTGTAAATAAATTTTGTCAACCCTAATAATATACCTAATATTATCCCAATGTTAACTAGTGAAAAGCAATACTCCAAGCTTATGTCCTGCTAAGTAGAAGTGAAACCAGATGTCAGGAGTGGATTCTTTGACGCTAAAGTCAGCCAAGGAGTGACAATGATACTCGTAGGTAAGGTTTTAAAACCCGATTCGGGGAGTGACCCGGTCAAGTTACTGGGTCATCGAGTTGGCCAGTCGAATCGTGATATCATCATGCTGATATCAATGTAATGACGTTATTTTGACATTAACATGACATATAAAAAAATAATAAAAAAGCGATTCAACTGTTGGGTCGAACTGGTTGGACCGACGGTTCGTAATAAAAAATTCGGTCCAATCGCGGTTCAAACTGGGTTATTTGAAAATTTTGATTTTTTAGTTGAACCGATCGGACCGGGCTAAGTTTTAAAAGCACGCTCGTAGGTGAGCTTTGAGGGCCAAGGAAACATTTCAGTGGGTATTTTTGGAGTGAGTAGTCCCATTTGCTTCATATACTACTAGGGTTCTTCCACATGTCCCTTGTAACCGTTTTATAAGGCATGTGGACCTTTTTTTTGCCTGGGTTATATGGATCCCTTTCTTAACCTCGCAAATGTAGCGAGAGGGATAGGATCGCCTAAAGGCGAGCGAGGACTGTCTCCCTAATGAATTGGAGGAGGCAAAGTTATACCAAGTAAAACTAAAATTAATTAACCTAACCCAACTCACATATAATGGGATGAACTTAGATCTCAACTAAAACACCTCCACCATTAACCGAAAATCAAAAGGAAACATTCAGTGCAACAATGGCCAAGTAATTGGAGTTTATATTATATTTATTCCCAAAGAAGAATTCTTCACGTTCACTGAAGAGGATTAAGTATGTCTGTATTAATTGAACAGAAAAAGGAAAATAAATCAAACAAGATCTTGTCATATAACACAACAAAGTAGTTATTAAAAAATTAATTACGTGAAACACGCTGTGGAAAAATAATTGGCATTTTGGACTTTTTCCCACAACAACCAGACACCTGCAAAATGAGATTGCCATAATATTAACATTAATCAACTCTTCCACTTCCTAGAATCTCCTCAAGTCAACAAGAGAATGAATAGAGGAAAGATGATTATTCAAGTGGATGATCATGTTTGGTTTATTTCCCATTTTTTTCTCAGAAAGCGATAATGTTGTATTTTAATATGACTTCTTCCTTGTTTTGTTTTATTTGACTTTTCTTCTTTTCATTACTAATTACAATAATAAATACGATTTCTTTCCTACTTATTCATCTCATTAACTATCAATTAAATTATGTATTTAATTCATATCACATCTCCCCGTTTCTTAAGATATATTTTAAACATTTTAAACATTTTAAAACCATGTTTAAATAATACAAATTATCTGTTTATTTATTTGTATGGTTAAAATTAATGTATTTCCTCATTTTCTATTTGAAATATATTCTGCCTTTTCGAAAGAAGTATTAAATATGGATTTTTTCCCTTAAAAAAATGATTAGTTTGATTTATATTCTCTATCACAAATTATTCTAATGATTCTCAAAGATGAATAGTTTAATTCATACTTCATAATTAGAAAAGAAAATTAACTCTTTTTTTTTTTTGGTGGTTGTTTGATTTTTTCAACTATGTAAATCTTGGGAAGGTCACAAATGTTTTAAGTGACAATAGTAATGATAATGGTAGGAAAAAAAATAATAATGGACCATAAAATATGTGGTACATAAAGCAATAGCAGAAGGCAAAACTAAGGTGTGACAAAGAATAGTACAAAAAAACGACTTCAACGTCAGCCTTATATTGACTGCCTAACCTAATTTTAATTTAAATTATATCATCACAAGCAAAATCCAAGAAACGACAGGCCACGCCAGTTGCCCACATGCCCACCGCATTTCTTCTTCAAATTCAGACTAAACAACTTTTCCCACTAAGGTATGTTAATCATTTTCAAATACCACTTTCCCACCCGACATTTATATTTTATTAATATTCAAAATATACTTTACTTTCTCAACTTACGTTCAATGAGTTACAAGAGTCAAGATAAGAGATTTTTTTCCAGTGGAGGCCGATGTATGAATATTGGTGACCGATTAAATATTCACCACTGAAATCATTCATAAATCAACTAAGAATAAGAAACTCTAACTTTGCAATGGTCAGTAATCGACGAGAAATCAAGTTCCTAAGTGAGAAGGACTTTGTAAAAAGGAGGCTAGAGATTCAAATGGTATGATAGAGAGAATTTTATAATCGAAATCAGTTTTGAGTAGTAACAGAATATTAACTTTTGATGAAAAAGATTATTTAAAACTTTTTGGACGGAAAAGCGTTAAGGCTAACCTTGGGTGGGAAAATTTGTTACTCAAATTTCACACTGTTATGTACGTCACATATTTACTCCTTTCATTAATTAACTCTTCATCAAACAAAAGTTACCTTACCTGATATTGTACAACAATCAAGCTCAATACAAACTACAAACCATCATCACGTATTTCATTTTTCCCGTCGTTTAGGATAATTTCTTCAAAAAGATTTAAAATGTTTTTTTAATTATATAAAAAAGAAACTCCTTAAAAATTAATAAAACCTTGATATTAAATAATTTTAATACTTTCTAAACCTACATATAAGTTAATGCTTAACCAAACTTATAGCAAACAAAAATTGAAATGAGCTCATATTTCAGTTACAATATATAAATTAATAGATTCACAGATTAGAGTATTTCTAATAGTATTCTTATTTTAAATAGCATATTTCACAAAAATAAAGAACATCTTAGATAATTTTAAATATAAGAACAAAATTTGTATTCAAATCCAAAAGACTCTTTAAATGACTTAATAAATATGAGAGAGACTTAATAGAAGAAAAATTAATAATAAAAGCATAAAAACTTGTAATTTATTAAATAAAATTGTGATAAAGAGATATTGACTATTTAGATATAGAGAGTCAAACTCATTCTTTAATTTATTTTAAAGAATAAAGAGCTATTGAGCTCTTGTTTTTATAGTGAGTCATATAAATTTTTTAGAGATGCTGTTAGTTGATTAAAAATTTATTTCATTAAGAGTATTTCCAATGATGCTCTTTATTTGGAAAACATCTTTGCATAAATAAAGAGTATTTTATTAATTTTTAAATATAAAAAATATAACTTATATAAAAAATACTCTTCAAAATAGAGAGTATCTTCATTAATTTTAATTAATTAAAAAATTAATTTTTTTTTTATATTAAAAATTAATAAAAACTCTAAAAATAAAACAAATTGGAGATGAGTAAAAAAAACATAACTTTTCAAAGTATCAAATATAAAGAAATGGTCAACATGAATAGCGACTCAATTCTATAGCAATGGATTTCTTCAACGGGGAAACTGCAACGAGTAAACCGTGAAACCCCAAGAACGCTCTTCCCTCTTCATTTAGTCTAAACTAATTTTCTACACGTCCGTGTTTTTACTTCAATATATATATATATATATATATATATATATCTTAACCCAATCTATCGTTCTCAACTCCATTTTTTCTTCTCAATCCGTTTCATGAATAACTTATTCTTAAACATACTCATCATCCACCACTTAATACAATGGAGATTACAGTTTTATCAGCTCAAGGCTTGAAGAATACTTCTTCTACTCTCTTCTCAAACCGTATCAGACCCTTCATCACCATCACCACTTACTCTCCAAACACCGCCACCTCCGGCGATAAACAGTGCCACGTGTACAAAACAAGAGTTGATGATGAAGGAGTAAACCCAACATGGGGTGACAAGTTTCATTTACCTACAGACAACGCCTTCTTTGCCAACAGATATTCTTGCATATATCTACAACTATACACCAAAAGGCTCATTGTGGGTCAAACTCTACTGGGTTGGTGTCAGATTCCGGTTAACGATATCGGGTTTCCTCCGGTTGGCTCCGTCCGCTATCTCAGTTACAGGTTACGGGATAAAGATGGCTCCAGAGGTCAAGGAGTTGTCAACCTCGCTATAAAGTTGGAAAATATAGTGCCGGTAGCCGGTGAGAACTTCAGCCAGCCGCTAGAGATAGACACATGTCCTGTAATTGGTATACCAGTGACCGTATGTCCACGTGTCAAGGATAGCATGAGTTGAAATCTCGGAGGAGATATGAACAGTGCGACACAAGAGAAGTCAGCCTCAGTCATCATGTGCTTAAGCCAAAGCAAATGGTTCTAGATCCCCTTATGTTAAATGTGTCGTGTGTCACTAAAGTCTTTTCAATTTAGTTAACTCTGTATGAATGGAATCATGGACAGATAGTGTGTTCCTTCTAAATGTATTATATGAAAATTTTTGACAAATAAAGGCCGGATTTTAATACTATAAATTGGGTTTCCTAGTAATCGTTAATCAAAAAAGGAATAATCTGCATCACACAATTTGATATGCACCCAATAAACACTACCCGATTATTCAGGATTATTACCACGTCTACTCAAAACCCATTATATGCAGAGTCAAGAGAGCAATGATTTTTGAAGCTTTTTAGCTCACAATAGTGCTATGTAAATGTAATGACTATTATTAGCTTGCAAATTGCGCATCTAATCACGGATTAATACAACACAGCGAAGATGCGATTGGAAAACATTAGCTCAGTGACCCAATTCTATCATAAAAAATTTCTTACATGTCCCACTCCTTTACAATAATTGCTATAAGTCCTGATGTGAGAGGCCTGCACTTGCAGTTTTCCAAAAAATAATTTTAAGTAGGGACAGAATTTTGGTGATGTACATCCATAAAAAAACTGCGGCTGATAAGCTTCAGACTTGAGGATCATAATATACTATTTCCATGTCTAATTGTCAATACAACTAGTCTTTTGCCTTCTGCTTTTGGCGAACGTAAATTCCAATCATCTTAGAGTACAAACAAACATCTTTTTTTTTTCTTTTTTTTTTTTTTTGGGTTAGACGACAGCCTTTCATGAACTATAAGGCCAAAACGTGATAAGAATGTTCCTCAATAACTCAATTGACCCGTCATGATTATGAATTCGATCTGAAAAAAAGACAGACAAAAAAGGGCCGTTTGGATGCAGTGGGAAAAAATCAAGATATCTTCACAAACAATTGCTGTTACCAGGCTACATTCCTGATATCAGATGTTGCTTTTTGAAGTCTACTCTTAATTGATCTGAAACTACTTGAGCCGTTATTGGTCCACTGCAATGAGCTGCTTCGCTTAAGAAGATCAAATACCATGGGGGATATCAAAGTCGGATTGTCTGATGGAATATCATCATACTCTGCAGAAATAAATCAACATCAAATTCACTATAAGGATGCAAGCTTCATATGGTTTTGTGTTATATAAGTAAAAATATCTTAAGACTTCTAGAATATATATGGAGCAAAAATCTAGAAGATTTATAGCGCTCTTTAAGTATTTCAGTAATTTAGAAATAAAATTAGCCTTCAATGGTTATGGCTACATTTAGCAACATCTGAGAGAACCACTAGATGAGGATAACTAGAGCTTAGGGAATGTTATGGTAGTCATATACTAGGGTGGCTCCCCACATTCCTTGTTGTCCAACTTGTGGAAATAATGCATGTAGTACCAAATTCTTTTTAACAGTAACAAGTTTGCAATAGTCAACTATGTACCCAACCCGAAGGGGTTTACACAGTCAATTCCTATCCTAAAAGCACAAATATGGACAGGGCTGACCATCTGGGTCAAATTGCCATCCCTAGATCCAATAAATCTGGTGAATTTTCAAATTGTTACTTTTGTCTCTCTCAGTAGTGAGAAAATGCATTTGAAAAAGCCGTTCTATCCACAGATGTGGAAAACAGTAGCAAGAAGCATTAGGTTAAAGTAGACAGGTCACTTGTAAGAAGCATAACCACAAAATTTGGCCTTATAAAATTCTTTTACAGGTACTTGCAAGAATGTCGTCTTTGTTCACAGGTATACTGCATTTGCCAAATTTTGTAGTTTATATGTTAGTAGCAAACATTAAGTTCATTAGAATGGAATATCACCTGAAGATTTGGGAAGCTGATATTGCCTTTTCAAGAACTTGGAGGCCACTCTATCTTTCTTGTGGCATAAGACTCGCACTAAAGTATTGGCATCTTCCAAGTTCCTATGACCATGTTTTGGCGGATCTAACTCCAGCGAAATGTGCTCACTTGCATTCATCAACATCCGGATGAGAGTTTCACTCTGCAAGAGAGATTAATCATCAAGCTAACTGTTCCACCATTTATTTATAGCAATAATGGTTCAGTATGAGCAACCAAACCTGAACGGAAAATAAGCTAAGTATTTCTTCAGCAAATTTTGCTTCTTGCTCAACTACTGAACGGGGTAGGCCTTCTCCACTAGCTACAAAGAAGTCCTAAAAAGTAGAGTTGCATAGATATTAAATAAGCATTTGATAACACATAGCAAGTACATTCATATCTAGCAAGTTATTTCTTTCCATGCATTTTGTAAAAATGCAAACAACATGGTTAAGATTTCCACTTAGTTTTATGAGTGGCATCAATCATTGACACCTTATGTGCTGAATTCATACAGTACAGAGCCAATACCACATTTCACTTGAAGAAAAATGTCTTTCCAACCACAAAAGGCCAATGATTGCAGCTTATGTTCAGTCCATTTATTGATCACGTATGTCAAAAACTAGTCTCAAGACAACTGTAATATAAAATTGCTTTATTCACAATATGGATCATTCTAAAGAAATTAAATTACTAGTATGCAAGTCCCCTACCCCTTTGTCTCTACTACAACAGTAACATCAACTCTTTCTTGGTCAAAAATAAAATTATTGAATTTATAAAAATAAAGAAGCCCTAGCTCAACCTGGCAGGGAAGAGAATCGACATTGAGCAAAGTATTTTTTCAGCAAGAAACTTCCTAACTTGACATAATTGTAGCTCAGATCAGAGAGAATTTAGCATTAGGGTATATAAAAATATAGATGCTCTGGAATTAATAGGTTTGACAAAGAATACAAATACATGTTAAGATAGTAAAAATGGAGTACATAAGAGTATTTAAGACAGATATATTATTTTTATTTGAGTCATTTATGAATTGTAACCTTAGGTTCTCTACTCTAATTGCTTATCTCTTTGATCTGAAGAAATATTTACCATCAGCTTCTGTAATACAGATATTAAGCAAATACGCATCAAAATATTTCTTTGTGTGATGTTCATGCATTCAAGCACATGATATGAAAAGACAAGAACATCTAGCCTTCTGAAGGGAGGAAGTCTGATCTTAGTAAGAAGACATCATGCATATATTCCCATGTTTATGTTCTTGCAAGATACCTTCAATACATTAAAGTCCTCTTCCATCATCATGATATCTGAATCTGAAAATGCACGAGAAGGACCTCCATCCAACAATATCCAAACATAGCCTTCCTGAACAATAGAAGCATACACAACATGAGCCACGCCGAAGAGCACCTTAACATATTACACAATGGGTGAGAGAAACACACCAATGATGCTCGGCAGATGCTCAAAACGACAAGGTCCCTTAGAGAGTCGTCAATCAAACCACAAATTTGGTCAAGGACCTACATGATTCCTTTAGGTTAAGAGAATATTCTTGATAGAAAAAAGATACTCTACAATTTAAAAAGAAAGTTTAGCAGAAAAGTACATGATGTACACACACAGACACAGAAGGAGAGAGAGACTGTATGCTTAAGTATCTTACAGTATCAACATGGGGGAGAATACTGTCCAATCGAGCATTTTCCACATTACTCCGATATAAAGGAAACAGAAACGAGTCTCTCAGATCCCAAAAAACAACTCTTGCTCCTGCAAATTATAATTTAGGAATAAAATTAAGGTTAAGTCATAAAATTAAACAATAATATTTATGTGCTTATGCCGTCCTTTACAAACAAGGCTAGACTCAGGGTGCATACTGTCTTGTGGATCACACATCCACAAATGTATAAATAAAAAACTTGTTATAGTTTGATTAATAAAATATTACAGAAGCTTCAAACAGTTTTTACCCTTTTGTTAAACTTACGATGATATCCATGTTGAGTTACTATCCCAAAAGCTTCAGGCAATAGAGAACCATAATATTTAACTTCTAACAGATTAAACCATCTTTTGTCCTATCATTTTAGGTCTAACTCTGCCAGTCACAATTTTTTGGTAGATAGACAGGAACTCTGTTACAAATGACAAATCTTGATGCATACAACTTTATTTTGTGACAGGCTAATGCTGAGTTATATTAATGCGAGCTTGACAATGGATAAACTCCTATCAGCTGTTTTTTTCAACACATTCACAAGCTATAAATAAATAGGCCATCAAATCAACATGTGACTAACAAAACCACACGGCTAAGATGATTACAGAAAAAAAAAAACATAAAATTAAATTAATCAAAGTGGATGTCTTTCTATTTGCAGTGAGAGGAAACCAATAATCACAGATAGATAGTACAAATACAAATTAAGTTTTATTAACTCACCAATAAAATCACAAATCATGCTGATAGCGACCTTTGCAGTATCTCTGATGCAGTTTAAGGTGGTTGAAAACAGTTCATCCACTGCTTCACTGCATGCTAGAAAATCTCTCTCCGAAGTTTCAGGAAGCTCTTCTTTGGCTGGATGAAAATAAAAATACTGCTAAGACTGTAGCATATCAAGCACTGTAGCCAATGGATTTTCATCTCAGAGAAGAAAAAGAATCTGAAAAAACCTAAAAGGTTTCATATAACATCTTTCAAAGTCTACAGTACCACTAGCAGAAATACTGTAGTTCCTTGCTCCTTCCAAAAAGGAAACGGTATTTTGCTTTACTTCTCATTGTTCTTGTTAATGCTATTCATAGAAATCTCATGTCTCCACATGATAGTCCATTTCAAACATATGCAGAGTTCTGATTGGTGGCCAGTGCAAGCATGCACACACAATTATAGATTGCAATCCCAACCAGAGTCAGCCTATTGGTCGGTCTTAACACTCATGTTCTTGAATAAAGTATTGATTGAGGTAAGGTAAGTGTCATGAATGAAACGCCCAATCAAATTTCAGAATAACTAGCAAGTAAATTGGCGTCCTCAAGGAGATCTTCAATTATATACTATTGCACCTGTTTAGCTGTTATCCAGAGGAAAGCTCATCCTCCAAACCCTAATTGTACACTCAATGAAACATCATTAAGAGTTAGAGATCTAATAACCTAAACAGTGACAATGCAGCATTTGTGCAATTAAGGAAATTATTAAAGGTCAGTTTCTTGTTGAGAATTACATACAAACACTTACCCCATAATTGATCAATAGGTGGTCTGACAAGCCCCCAAGATTTTCTAATGCCATCTTCTAATATGCCGATTTGTTTTTGAATATACTGCACAAAGAAACAGAAGATGACAAAAAGAAATAAATTCTAGAGACGAAAAAGAGAGAGATATACTAAATTGCTATTGCCGTTAAAGGGTTAGTTCAAAAAAAGGAACCTTTAAGTGGTCTCTTCAGATATCATTTTAGGTTACATTTTAGACAAAATTAGAAATAATATTCTTTTTTTTCTTCCCCTTTCTGAACACGATAGTATGCGACTTAGGGGTGTAATCAAGTCGAATCAAGTCGAGTATTTGCCAAATCGAACTTGACTTGATCGCTACAGTACCGAGTTGAGTTCGAGCTTAATCAAGCCTAAGAAATCAAGTTTGAACTCGAACTTGGTACTTGAAATCGGAAATCGCGTTCCAATTCGAGTTCGTATAATCAAGTTTTAATCAAGTTCGAACTCGAACTCAATTTTGAGCTCATCTAAAAAAATTGAAAAAAACAGTAGTGTTTGATGACAAATTTCCCCACTACAATTTGCTGTGTATTTGCAAACTAACTATCTCCACTCATGCAAACACCATTTCCAATACACACATGACAAATCACCACCAATATTTTTCAATTTACCTCAGCCGAATTGTAAATATAACAGCTTCTCAATGTACCCAACACTTCTCAATGCATCATGCTTAAATCGGAAATTCTAGCAACTAATCACACCAAACACTTCTCAATGCATTCAGCCGAAACAATCATTTAGCTGAAACAATCATTTACACATAAACCCCAGTACCCCATTGATGCATCAGTTTACACATAACCTCGAAACCCATAAACCACACTGATTAAAATTCCAAAACCCAGAAACCCCACTAATAACATTCCAAGACCAACAAAATTTGACTGAAAGTGGACTCTAGTTTCACTTAAGGATTTCAGTTTCACAGTACCTAAGAGTCTGAGAGGAGATGAAGCAAGATGGCGACCGGAGACAGCGAAGAAGAGGGAAGAAAACAGCGACGGTGACGGCAATGGCTATTTGTGAAGGAGAGAGAGATAAAATGATTTATGGATTTTTGTATACAATCGTGTTTTACATTATTTCAACAGGAGTGGATTTGCAACTTTTAAATTACTTATAAATTATATATGACCCCTAATACTTTAAAAACTATCAATTTAACCCTCGAGCTTGGAAATACTCGCAAACATATCGAGTTGAGTTCCGTTGTGATCAAACTTGACTCGATTAACTAATCGAACTACTCGAACTCAAACTCGCCTAGTGTCGAGTCGAGTTCGAGCCTATACCGAGTCGAGTTTGAGTAGCTCGCGAGCTACTTGACTCGATTTTCACACCTAATGCGATCAGGACCAGATAAATACCTAATAGTCTGCAACAACAAATAAAATTTAAAACAGTTGAAAAACAAATAAAAACATTATTGACAGCAACTTGGGGAGATTACCCAGATATCAAGCCTACACTGATCACTATGCAAATTTGTGTTTGGATTTCCAATCTAGGTTGGGAGAGGTTCAGAATTCTTTACTAGTCTGAACTTAACTTGGCAGGGGCTAAGTTTTAGGTCTCTATAACCTCAGGGAACCTGAGCTAAACATATCAATTTATAAATTTTTATTTTGTAGTACATGTGAAAAATTTTAAATACATTTCAAAATAAATTCATTTAAGAAATTTTTGCATGGGGTTAGATATCTAATCACATTAAGCCGTGAAACTTAAAGAAAACTTTGATTATTCTATTAATATGATACAACACAGCCAATCCAATGCTATCTTAACCAAGCCACATAATCCTAAATCAAGTTCAAAAGACAAGCACATGATGGGATTAGAATAAGCAGCCTCATGTTTAATCTTGCAGTGGTTTGAGTTAAACTGCTAAAGTCAAGTATTGAGCACCTGGAATGGAGCCTCGATAGTACTCCAACCTAACCCAGCATGCTGCATTAACAATCCTGATCCTCGAACTAAATTTCATTTCAGCATAACTTGAAGATATAACATCTCAAGTTGTGCCTGGTTTGACCTCTATTCTAGCCTAGCCTACCCTGGCTACATTAAATACTGTATTTTGAACTGATATTTTAATTCAGCACAAAGCAAGAAAATAGACCGTGCAACAAAGCATACAGTCATCCATAACATAATCTGTTTAATTACATGTTAAAATTTTGAATGTGTTCACATAATATTATAAAAATAAATATCTTAATTTATGGTGATCTCATTGCCAGTGGTACAATTAATTTATGGTGATCTCACTGCCAGTAGTACAATTGTTGCTTTCTCATTCAATCTCAATTTGTAGTATTAAATGGACAATGTCATTATAAAATATTTTTTTGCTTGTGGAAATTATATTCTGAATTGCAATCTATTGGCCCATTACCCTGACAGCAACAATAATTACTACAGAGATAACATCCTTAAAATTATGTTAAAACCACTGGCATGATCATTTGGTTCCATCTTAAATAGAGAAAAAGTCAGCAAAAAATTTGTATGATTTACTAGGATCAATAGATATATACACAGACTTACTTGAAGAGTGTTCAACCTGATACAGAGTTTCGGTGTTGTCAATCCTTTTAACTTCATACTCACACTTTCATCCAGAAATGTAAACTCCAGCAGCTTTTTCTTAACTATAGGAAGAACTGCATCCTTGTAACGAGTCAAAGGAGGAGCTGATGGATACAGATGACTTTTTTCAACTGCAAGATTAAAGTATTATGATCAACTATATTGAATTCCAACGGCATCTGAAATACTAGTTATTAAGTCTCTTAATCAATTGCATGGGAAACAAGTCTGGTCATCAATTGTAAGGGAAATAAAAACAGTAGAAGAAAACAAACAAAATATTAAAGAAATAAACAAAACTATACAGGAATTTCCTAAAAGAATATATCATATCCCCAAGATAGTACCAAAATGGGATATATGGCGAGAAAATTGAATAAACCTTATAAGAAATGTCAAGGATGTCAAAGTAAACGTGAGAATACTCAAGGACCATAAGAATTTCTCTTCTGCTACCTAATAACACTTAAGACATCACAATCCATAATGATCTTGGATTTTGCCACTCTATACATCATGATTACCTTCTGTCCTAAAAAGGCAGGAATCCCTGAAACTCCATGATGGATGAAGCCTAAAGAACTAATTATTGATAGAAATTCAACCTAATTATCCCCTTGGTTCTTCTGATGAGTCAAATACACCATAATCCAAGAAATATATATTTCATCTGATTACAAGCACCAGCATTCAGAGTGAAAAATAAAAAGATTCCAGTCACATATCCAACAAGCAATAACAAAAAAGATGATGATTTAACAAGTTGTCCAGCTTTGTGATGGGCAACAGATGCTTATTGACATACTTTGTAAATAAAAGACGGGAAACCAAATATATATACATTAATTTATCCATCATCAGTGATCTAAGAGATTCTATAAGAACTTGGCCTTATATCTTACTATAGAGCAGAACAATTATTATACCTTGTAAATCCACATATATACCAAGGGAACTACCAGCAAGAAATCATGACAAATGTTATCTTGTAACAGTCACTGTCCTCCAACAAACCAAAGAAACATGAAAATCATTATCCTAACTTCTTTTTTTTTGGGGGGGGGGTGGGGTGGTAAAGATACATGAACTGATCATAATAATAACAAGAACAGATAAATAAGGCGAACCAGTGATCCACCTCAAAATAGCCAACCAATAGTGGACAAAACATTCAGAAACAAACACAACAATTAAACCAAAACAGCAATTCAATCTCTATGAATTAGAAAAACAATATATCCATAAACTGCTTAGGAACTGAAGCCTACAAAGAGGCTAAAAAGCCGAATTTGGTCCCACAATAAACCAGCCCCCTCAATGAAAACCCCTTCAAAACTTATTCTCTCTCTAACCATACACCTAAAACATTCAATTCGAAATAGGGACAGGGACCCTAGCAGAAACAATTTTTCCTCCAGGTACACACTAAACTGTCACCTAGCTGGCCAACCCCATAAACCAAAAGCTAAAGGCATGCATGGTGAAGCCTCTTTAGACTTTCATTAAGCTGTACATTGAATTTTTTCAAGCAAAACATAAAACTTCAAATACAATTAGAAAAATGTCCCATCATAAATATGCTAGTAGATAACATGTATGATACCTAACTGGCTCAGCAATCTCTGCAAATAGGCATCCAAGCTGTGGAAAATTATGGATAGCAGAGCTTGTAAATGTGTAACATCCAAAGGGAGGTTCAAGCCAAAGAATTGATCCACAGTCTGCAGGTTAAATAAAATATAGCAGGAGTGCAACAAAACAAGACTACAAGTTACTCAAAATAATTATTTAAATAAATAATAAAAAATGCTGAAGAAAATATAAAAGATAGAATTGCAACAGCGTAAATTCTGCAATATCCACAACTATAATTGTGGAGCAATGACTATTTTTATATTAGCATGCTGTTTACAGTTCCCATAATCAGAACAAAAAAAAAAAAAAATAGATATCTTGAGCAAGAACAGAGAAATTTCCAGTAGAAAAGACACACAGAGCAAAGAGCAACTTCTTTGCAAGGCAGTATCTTGATAATCTTTCTTACTAAATGAATAGAATATATATTGTATAACCAGTCTGAAACCACAAATGCCAAATAACTGTTTTAGAGATATTACATACCTCCTCTATAATCCTAAATACTTCAATTACTGATGCTGATTGTCTTTGCTGAAAGGACAAAGGTTCCCAATCCTACACATACCCATAATCATTTAATTTCAATCAATTCAGAAGACCAAATGCATACTATAAAATTAAGCAAATCTATCCCTCCAGGCACGCTTACACACGTCGTATTTGTCATTATGCTGCATTGATGCTTTAGTTTGATAGATCATGGCTAGACAAATACAATATTACACACCATCCCAGCAGAAAATAGAGATTGAATTTTGTATGTCCCACCTCCCATACAAATATTGATCGGAAAGGATGGTGGGTATGCCAATAAATACCCAATTTATAACACCATCGTTCACACAGTTTTATGTTAAACGTTCTCGTCCTCACCTCTCTTCTCATCTACTTTCTAGTTTCATGTATATGACTAGATGGTAAGAGATATTTAACCAAAGGAACAACATCCCACTTGGTATGGAACCAACCTCAAGATCAAATGCACGTCCAGTCCATTCCAGTACATGAGCATGCTGAGTAATCACCCAATCAAGAATGATTGGTTTGCAAACTTCCCCAATCTGCATAAAAGGAACTTGTCATCCTCCAGATCATACCAAAGCACAGATAGCATCTCATTACAACCCAAACATATATAATTATACTTATCCGAAACACAAGTATGTTGGACAAAAGTTGGAACAGCCCATGCTGTTTGTTATATAGGCATTGGGACCAAATATAATCCACGATAAAATTCCTGTTCAATTATATCAATTAAAGCTGATGCTTATTTTTCATCTATCAGAATGTTGTCATCACTAATAACCAATAACAAGTGAGCTCCAACATTTGCACGTAAAACATGCCTTGAGCACCAGCATCTATGTAAATGACAAGTGTAAGATTCTAAGAAAGAACCAGGACAATGCTAAATGCAACAAGAAAACTATGTTGTCTGATAGAAATTCCTGAGATTTAATTTAATTGAATGATCACTCATCATCTGTGTAAAACAAAACAAATGCAAGCAAGCAACATATCATGACAAGATGGACAAAGCAAACAAAACAGCAAAAAGAACTGAAATTTGATTGTACAAATGTGTCGAAACATGGTAAATACCGAACAAGGCTTGTAGACTCATTTTCATACACCATCAAGAAATGCAACACCAAAACCATTAATACAATATTGTTTCTATGACTTCAGAAATTGTACAGATCTTAACCTGATAATGGTCCAATTCTTTCCTGATAGGGTGATGGGACCTATTTTCTTCAAAAGCAGAAGTATATAGCTGAGTTAGGTAATGATCCAACACATCAGCTGCAGGCAGCACCAATTTAACATCTTCGGACAGAGATGACACTCCATTGAGGAACGGTTTCTACATAGTTGGGAAAAACAAACGATTACCAAAAATATCTACAGTATATTGGTATATATATACCAACTGCAAATATACCCTTCAATTAAGAAGTTACGGAAACAAACCAGTCTTTCCCCATAAAACTGGTGCAATAGCATGGCTGAGATCATCAATGCTTCAGAGCATAAATGGCATAATACCGGCCAAAACACTATGAACTGTCTCTCCGCAATTAATTTAAGTTCATTTGCAAGCAAAGCTAAAGGATGAGTCTTTTCTACTTTCGATTCAAGATCTATGGTATTTGCAACCTGAGAAGAAACAAATCAACCTCATATGAATTATGAATAAGGCAGAAAAGTAATATAGAAGTGGATTCAATTCTGTCCAACACTATGGTATTTGCCAGTTAACAATAATATGACATCAACCCATCAACTTAAGCGAAATCAATTTTTGAAGATAAAATACTCACCTGCGTGCAAGCGGCTTCAATAGACTTCTTGACATATCTTTTAAGTTTTCTAGCAGCCTTATCATTTGAAGCATTCAATTTTGCCAACTGCATGCATAAAATAATGTTTTTGCATGAGACAATAGCAAATATTAGCTCCAATGGTAGTCTCCGCATATTATAATAATACTTTAAAGAAGGCCTTCCATCAGAATGCAACGGGAACAATTCCTTAATAAAAACTATAGAACATGTTTTTAAACACCACATATAATTTCAATAATGTATTGTTGGTTTTAAAATTCAGCACAACCTTCTTGGTCCACGAATCAACGCTATTTGCTTTTTCCAAAAAATATTCATTCAAGATCAACGAAAGCCTAGTAATAAAAATAAACTACTATTTTTGAAGTTGCAATTAGCATAAATAGTAACTTAATGAAATTAATATAAAAAATAAACAGTGCAAGAAAATAAATTTTTGCAATAAATTTCTTGTACAAATAAGCTATTTTTAAACAAAGCAATTTAAGAACATATCTAACCATGGTAACTCATGTCAACCACCAAATATATATTTAATCAGCTTACTGCACCAAACCTAACCTTAGCTCCAGAACAATTGCCAGAAGTAAGTAATCCAACTGCTGATGCCAAGGAAATCACCCTCTTGAAGTTAGCAGGTTGCTGAAGAAAAATGATTTCAGTCAATAAGAAAATGCCAGGAAATAGAGGTTCATTTTACAAGGTATGAAAAGAACTTTATAACATATAACAAAAGTCATTTAAGTTCAATTAATAACCCAAATTTATGCAGTAGTCAAATAAAATAAAAATCCTAGAAAGATTTAAAAGATCTTGGTCACTCATATTGGAACAATTAAAATATATTTAATAGGAGAAATAAAGAGTAGCAATTGACCTGATTAAAATGCAGGTGGTAGTCCTGCAGTTTATTGTCACACCAAATACTTATCGAGAGAAAAATAGCCTGCACCAGACTTAATTTAACTTCTCTGTCATTGCATTGCCTTGAACATACAAGACTATTCATATATTGTCCTTCCTTATCATATTCTTCTGCAGTTGAAACTTTCTGCAACTGAATAACAGCATGTTCCACTAGCATCCCCTCACCAGTAGCTACAAACTTCAATCGGGAAAATTAAGTTTAAAATCATATTAAAGCACGCTCCTAAAATTTGGCATGTCATATATGTCAAGTGAACTTTACATGGAGGAGACACTAAAGACTAGGGATGACATTTCCCCAATTTGAAGTGAGGACTGTTAAGCCCGCACTTCTGAAAGGGAAGTTTCAGGGTATTGTTTTTGGAGGTCGGGTGGAGTAGTGGTGACAGAGACTGACATTAAACACTTCCCCACGCAGGTTAGACTAATGATTAACCAAATGGACCTTGCACATAGACCCAAAACCAAACTAACAAGGGTTAACCAAACACAGATTGAGTTATATGACTGCATAAGCAAATTCTGAAGAAAATATAAAAGATAGAATTGCAACAGTGTAAATTCTGCAATATCCACAACTATAATTGTGGAGCAATGACTATTTTTATATTAGCATGCTGTTTACAGTTCCCATAATCAGAACAAAAAAAAAAAAAAATAGATATCTTGAGCAAGAACAGAGAAATTTCCAGTAGAAAAGACACACAGAGTGTTAGACCACCTGTACACAAGGTCTACAAAGCCAAGGGCAGGAAGAGGAATAGAAATTAGTGTGATGAGGTGTGAGTTGTTAGGAGAGTTGCGAGTTGGTTAGGAGAATGGTGAGGTGTGCAATGGGTGTGAGTTTGTTAGAACAAGAGAGAGATTTGTTGTTATGAGGTGGACACGCAGCTGGCAATTAGTTACAGAATAAGAACTGAATCAGTATATAAAGGAGATAGTTGAATGGGGGAGGATAGAGAAATATTTCCATAGGCTATTTGGGAGGTCCCCCAGCTCCTCGAACTGCTGGGAAACTGTCCATTGTTCCTTTATTCCTATCAGATATTACTTAGCACCACCTACTGTTATTTGTTGATTGTGCACTCTATTGGTTGTTGTGTTGTGTGTGTTGCTGTGATTTGTCTGTTTTGCAGGGGAGTTCCATCACAGAGCAAAGAGCAACTTCTTTGCAAGGCAGTATCTTGATAATCTTTCTTACTAAATAAATAGAATATATATTATATAACCAGTCTGAAACCACAAATGCCAAATAACTGTTTTAGAGATATTACATACCTCCTCTATAATCCTAAATACTTCAATTACTGATGCTGCTTGTCTTTGCTGAAAGGACAAAGGTTCCCAATCCTACACATACCCATAATCATTTAATTTCAATCAATTCAGAAGACCAAATGCATACTATAAAATTAAGCAAATCTATCCCTCCAGGCACGCTCACACTTCGTATTTGTCATTATGCTGCATTGATGCTTTAGTTTGATAGATCATGGCTAGACAAATACAATATTACACACCATCCCAGCAGAAAATAGAGATTGAATTTTGTATGTCCCACCTCCCATACAAATATTGATCGGAAAGGATGGTGGGTATGCCAATAAATACCCAATTTATAACACCATCGTTCACACAGTTTTATGTTAAACGTTCTCGTCCTCACCTCTCTTCTCATCTACTTTCTAGTTTCATGTATATGACTAGATGGTAAGAGATATTTAACCAAAGGAACAACATCCCACTTGGTATGGAACCAACCTCAAGATCAAATGCACGTCCAGTCCATTCCAGTACATGAGCATGCTGAGTAATCACCCAATCAAGAATGATTGGTTTGCAAACTTCCCCAATCTGCATAAAAGGAACTTGTCATCCTCCAGATCATACCAAAGCACAGATAGCATCTCATTACAACCCAAACATATATAATTATACTTATCCGAAACACAAGTATGTTGGACAAAAGTTGGAACAGCCCATGCTGTTTGTTATATAGGCATTGGGACCAAATATAATCCACGATAAAATTCCTGTTCAATTATATCAATTAAAGCTGATGCTTATTTTTCATCGATCAGAATGTTGTCATCACTAATAACCAATAACAAGTGAGCTCCAACATTTGCACGTAAAACATGCCTTGAGCACCAGCATCTATGTAAATGACAAGTGTAAGATTCTAAGAAAGAACCAGGACAATGCAAAATGCAACAAGAAAACTATGTTGTCTGATAGAAATTCCTGAGATTTAATTTAATTGAATGATCACTCATCATCTGTGTAAAACAAAACAAATGCAAGCAAGCAACATATCATGACAAGATGGACAAAGCAAACAAAACAGCAAAAAGAACTGAAATTTGATTGTACAAATGTGTCGAAACATGGTAAATACCGAACAAGGCTTGTAGACTCATTTTCATACACCATCAAGAAATGCAACACCAAAACCATTAATACAATATTGTTTCTATGACTTCAGAAATTGTACAGATCTTAACCTGATAATGGTCCAATTCTTTCCTGATAGGGTGATGGGACCTATTTTCTTCAAAAGCAAAAGTATATAGCTGAGTTAGGTAATGATCCAACACATCAGCTGCAGGCAGCACCAATTTAACATCTTCGGACAGAGATGACACTCCATTGAGGAATGGTTTCTACATATTTGGGAAAAACAAACGATTACCAAAAATATCTACAGTATATTGGTATATATATACCAACTGCAAATATACCCTTCAATTAAGAAGTTACGGAAACAAACCAGTCTTTCCCCATAAAACTGGTGCAATAGCATGGCTGAGATCATCAATGCTTCAGAGCATAAATGGCATAATACCGGCCAAAACACTATGAACTGTCTCTCCGCAATTAATTTAAGTTCATTTGCAAGCAAAGCTAAAGGATGAGTCTTTTCTACTTTCGATTCAAGATCTATGGTATTTGCAACCTGAGAAGAAACAAATCAACCTCATATGAATTATGAATAAGGCAGAAAAGTAATATAGAAGTGGATTCAATTCTGTCCAACACTATGGTATTTGCCAGTTAACAATAATATGACATCAACCCATCAACTTAAGCGAAATCAATTTTTGAAGATAAAATACTCACCTGCGTGCAAGCGGCTTCAATAGACTTCTTGACATATCTTTTAAGTTTTCTAGCAGCCTTATCATTTGAAGCATTCAATTTTGCCAACTGCATGCATAAAATAATGTTTTTGCATGAGACAATAGCAAATATTAGCTCCAATGGTAGTCTCCGCATATTATAATAATACTTTAAAGAAGGCCTTCCATCAGAATGCAACGGGAACAATTCCTTAATAAAAACTATAGAACATGTTTTTAAACACCACATATAATTTCAATAATGTATTGTTGGTTTTAAAATTCAGCACAACCTTCTTGGTCCACGAATCAACGCTATTTGCTTTTTCCAAAAAATATTCATTCAAGATCAACGAAAGCCTAGTAATAAAAATAAACTACTATTTTTGAAGTTGCAATTAGCATAAATAGTAACTTAATGAAATTAATATAAAAAATAAACAGTGCAAGAAAATAAATTTTTGCAATAAATTTCTTGTACAAATAAGCTATTTTTAAACAAAGCAATTTAAGAACATATCTAACCATGGTAACTCATGTCAACCACCAAATATATATTTAATCAGCTTACTGCACCAAACCTAACCTTAGCTCCAGAACAATTGCCAGAAGTAAGTAATCCAACTGCTGATGCCAAGGAAATCACCCTCTTGAAGTTAGCAGGTTGCTGAAGAAAAATGATTTCAGTCAATAAGAAAATGCCAGGAAATAGAGGTTCATTTTACAAGGTATGAAAAGAACTTTATAACATATAACAAAAGTCATTTAAGTTCAATTAATAACCCAAATTTATGCAGTAGTCAAATAAAATAAAAATCCTAGAAAGATTTAAAAGATCTTGGTCACTCATATTGGAACAATTAAAATATATTTAATAGGAGAAATAAAGAGTAGCAATTGACCTGATTAAAATGCAGGTGGTAGTCCTGCAGTTTATTGTCACACCAAATACTTATCGAGAGAAAAATAGCCTGCACCAGACTTAATTTAACTTCTCTGTCATTGCATTGCCTTGAACATACAAGACTATTCATATATTGTCCTTCCTTATCATATTCTTCTGCAGTTGAAACTTTCTGCAACTGAATAACAGCATGTTCCACTAGCATCCCCTCACCAGTAGCTACAAACTTCAATCGGGAAAATTAAGTTTAAAATCATATTAAAGCACGCTCCTAAAATTTGGCATGTCATATATGTCAAGTGAACTTTACATGGAGGAGACACTAAAGACTAGGGATGACATTTCCCCAATTTGAAGTGAGGACTGTTAAGCCCGCACTTCTGAAAGGGAAGTTTCAGGGTATTGTTTTTGGAGGTCGGGTGGAGTAGTGGTGACAGAGACTGACATTAAACACTTCCCCACGCAGGTTAGACTAATGATTAACCAAATGGACCTTGCACATAGACCCAAAACCAAACTAACAAGGGTTAACCAAACACAGATTGAGTTATATGACTGCATAAGCAAACACCATATAAATGTAATGATTTTGGGATGAAAAATGTACCTGCTGAAAAAGAACCCACCCAAATAAAGCATAGTGCATTTTCTGAGTGATCCCCAAAGTTGACCAGGTCATATTGATAAGTGACTGCAAAGTGTCAAATTCCTAATACAAATCCGAAGCAGCAAAAATGAGAATAATTCAAAGTAAAACCAAAAGCAAAAACAAGATACGAAAGCTTCTACCTCTATGAACTGGCATTCATCAAGAATGTCAAACATGCCAAAAAGTAATTTTTCATAAAGTCTAATGTTCAAATGATAGTCAGCAGTCCAATAGTAGGTTTCACTCTGGAGACCAAATTTTCCAGGTAGAGATGATATCTTTAACGCCAACTGTCGAACAGATGATAGAACCTCAACACGTTCAGAAGCAGACATTTTTAAGTCCCATTCCTACAACAAAGAATAAACATAGTAGTAGTAATTCGGAAAGAAGTCAATCAAACCATTTCATGATCATGCAAGCATCAAAAATCCACATAGAGGGCATACCTTTGTATCTCTTATCTTTTCAAGGCAACTTCTAATGGTTAGATGTTCAGTTTTTGCAACATTAGCAGAAAAATAAAGAAGCTCTTCTAAAATATTAGCCTACAAAAATAGTTACGCAGCGTATGATAAGTTCAGTGCTTTAATAAAGGATTTCCAATAAACATATTTGAAAATCAAAAATTAATCTTCACCTGTCTACTTTTCCATTGCATATAGGACTTTTCATTAAGAAAATCAGACTTGAAAGTGCCAAGCAAAAGCCCCAATGAGATTTGGGGAAGATCAACTTGTCCACATGATCTCCTTGCAGCCAACTGAATCAAATTTCTCTTAGTGCACGCACCCATTGCTTCTGAAATCTAGTAAGCAAACAATATTTACAACAGAGATCAACCAAATAATAATAATAATAATAATAATAATAATAAATAAATAAATAAAAACCAAGATGAGAAAAGGGAGACTCGTACTCCTAAAATGACAGAGATCAACTGAAACAAATTTCTCTTAAGGACAAATATTAAGCTAAACCCCTCTTTCTCCTCCATCCTGCCACCCCCTCTCTTCCCTCCCCACCACCCATTCCACCCCACCCCACACCCAAACAAGCAAAAAGGATTTTTCATGAGACAGAAAATGAAAACTATTAGCCCCACACAAAGTTTGTAAGTAGTGATTGTCTCCCCGCCCACCAAAATAATAATTCTAGTTTACTAGCCCAAAATTAGCGTGGAGCAAAACCATTTGAGTCATCTAGTATTCACCATTAATGCAGAAATTTTAGTTAAGCAAGTTATCTGAATACCAGTGATCCATTTAACCATCCACAAGGTTACATATCTTTGCCTAAGAAGATGTCATCCAAGGTTCACACATCTGAAGTACAATAAATAATTTACCATATCAAGCTCTATAGCTGCTAGTGAGAAGTTTGGCACATTTAACAGACATATTAAATGCAAACGACATCTATGTTACATGCACCAAAGCCAATCAAATGATCAGACTTTAAAAAACCTTTCTTTGTAATTAATCAAAGTCCCATGTTCTTTATCAAACACACAAGAATTACAGCTGAAATTAAATTCCAAAAAAAAGGAATATAGCTTACCTGCATCTGCACCCGTACAATATCGAAGAGCTTTGAATGTTTCTCTGAAGATTGAGATTGTAAATGTAATTTATCCTTTTTACTCTTCAACCCTGACAAAAATTTGGAACTCTTTTCCTTCTTCCTATCCTCAACTGGATTAACTTCAACCCTAGTCATGGGAAAGAAAGTGTAAGAAATGAAAAGGCAAGGAAGAAAAACTTAGATCTAGAGGTGTAGAAATTATTGTATATACACTAAAGAGGACATGGTACAATATGAAAACCCAGGCTGGCTCCATGGTACATGATAGATGTGAAAACACTCACGTGTACAAGAATATAGAGATAGAAAGAGTGATTACCAGGAAAATAACATAGATGCAACCAATAATTCATAAGCTGACTCCCGCAAATCGTCATCCGACAATCCTTCAATAGTCCTGAAGTTATGTATCAGTTTACTCAAGATGAAAGAACACAACTTCATTATACAAATATAAATAAACATGTAAAACAAAGAACCAGATTATGGAAAAACAGAGAACATAAAGATATGCATAATCTTTCCATCAAATTTTAATATGCATAGTCTTTCCATCAAATCTTAATATGCATAGTCTTTCCATCAAATCTTAATATGCATAATCTTTCATCACATTTTGTTAAACTATATTAATGCATCAGATTTTTCAAGTCCAGAAGAAACATAAGTAAACCAATCAATACCTGTCTTCAGACTGGGCAAACCTAATGGAGGAATTCCAGAAACAACTGTAGGCATCATAGGAGCAGCCGGAGTTGCTTTATTAAGACCATAGTCATTCCTAGGTGTTGCAACATTCTCAGCAATTGTTGGATCCTTCAGACTAGATAAGCGCGACACAGAGTTTCCACCTCGTTTGACACTAATTGGAGGCGGCACACGTCGAGGAGGAGATCCAGCCGAATCTGGATCAGAAATAAGAAAATACGAATCCCCTAGTTGGGAATTAATCTGCATTAGAAAATAAATAATACATAAGAANTCTCTTCCCTCCCCACCACCCATTCCACCCCACCCCACACCCAAACAAGCAAAAAGGATTTTTCATGAGACAGAAAATGAAAACTATTAGCCCCACACAAAGTTTGTAAGTAGTGATTGTCTCCCCGCCCACCAAAATAATAATTCTAGTTTACTAGCCCAAAATTAGCGTGGAGCAAAACCATTTGAGTCATCTAGTATTCACCATTAATGCAGAAATTTTAGTTAAGCAAGTTATCTGAATACCAGTGATCCATTTAACCATCCACAAGGTTACATATCTTTGCCTAAGAAGATGTCATCCAAGGTTCACACATCTGAAGTACAATAAATAATTTACCATATCAAGCTCTATAGCTGCTAGTGAGAAGTTTGGCACATTTAACAGACATATTAAATGCAAACGACATCTATGTTACATGCACCAAAGCCAATCAAATGATCAGACTTTAAAAAACCTTTCTTTGTAATTAATCAAAGTCCCATGTTCTTTATCAAACACACAAGAATTACAGCTGAAATTAAATTCCAAAAAAAAGGAATATAGCTTACCTGCATCTGCACCCGTACAATATCGAAGAGCTTTGAATGTTTCTCTGAAGATTGAGATTGTAAATGTAATTTATCCTTTTTACTCTTCAACCCTGACAAAAATTTGGAACTCTTTTCCTTCTTCCTATCCTCAACTGGATTAACTTCAACCCTAGTCATGGGAAAGAAAGTGTAAGAAATGAAAAGGCAAGGAAGAAAAACTTAGATCTAGAGGTGTAGAAATTATTGTATATACACTAAAGAGGACATGGTACAATATGAAAACCCAGGCTGGCTCCATGGTACATGATAGATGTGAAAACACTCACGTGTACAAGAATATAGAGATAGAAAGAGTGATTACCAGGAAAATAACATAGATGCAACCAATAATTCATAAGCTGACTCCCGCAAATCGTCATCCGACAATCCTTCAATAGTCCTGAAGTTATGTATCAGTTTACTCAAGATGAAAGAACACAACTTCATTATACAAATATAAATAAACATGTAAAACAAAGAACCAGATTATGGAAAAACAGAGAACATAAAGATATGCATAATCTTTCCATCAAATTTTAATATGCATAGTCTTTCCATCAAATCTTAATATGCATAGTCTTTCCATCAAATCTTAATATGCATAATCTTTCATCACATTTTGTTAAACTATATTAATGCATCAGATTTTTCAAGTCCAGAAGAAACATAAGTAAACCAATCAATACCTGTCTTCAGACTGGGCAAACCTAATGGAGAAATTCCAGAAACAACTGTAGGCATCATAGGAGCAGTCGGAGTTGCTTTATTAAGACCATAGTCATTCCTAGGTGTTGCAACATTCTCAGCAATTGTCGGATCGTTCAGACTAGATAAGAGCGACACAGAGTTTCCACCTCGTTTGACACTAATTGGAGGCGGCACACGTCGAGGAGGAGATCCAGCCGAATCTGGATCAGAAATAAGAAAATACGAATCCCCTAGTTGGGAATTAATCTGCATTAGAAAATAAATAATACATAAGAAAGAACTTATTGATGTTGACATGGAGACATACATTCGAAAACTTAAGCACTGTCCAGACATCACATTTTTTTTCTTTGTTTGATGGGAAACCAGACATCGCATAACACCTTATGAACTTTCTTCAACAAATCCACTAAAAATGATGCATGTCACTCTTATATGTTTACTTGCATCTACATTACAATAAACCTGTAGGCCAGAACCAAAAACAACACTCCAAACCTTGCTAATGATAATGCTTAATATGTTAATTAACTAATAAACCTCCCCCAAGAAAACTTATCAGAATTCAAAAGTGGCAATATTTTCCAAAGCAGAAGGGTCTACCTACACTTAAAGCCACCTCTAGTAAGGTGAAGGAAACTAACCGAAAATAAATATCATATATCTCAATATGATAAAATAAAACCTTTAAATGCTCTTCCACTACATGAAAAGATAATATAAATAAATGCATAAATTCGCAGTTTATATTCACATACGAAGCAAGGTAAAAAGACTCAACACTCAAAATCTAGAACAGGTAAGGTGTTAATTACCAAAACTGGATAAGCCGATTCGTCGACGTACTTCTTAGTCGCTTCAGAAACATTAACCACTCCACCTGATGACAACAAAAACTTACAACTCACGCAACCAGGACCAAATTCCCTTACAAAAAACAAAAAAAAACAAGTACACAACGCAAAATTCTAAGCTCAGCTAGGCTTCTGAGAAACCTAGGGTGAGTTTTCTTAAAGTCTTAAAACGAAGCGATTAAGACTTTTTTCGGCCAAAAATTAAAGCGAAAACCAAACAGAGCACAAGAAACGAAAATAGAGTAACCTGATTTAACGCAGTGGAGGATGTAATCGGCACTAAGAGAGTCGAAATCGATGTTGGAGAGAGAAGTGGCGGAACCGGAAGACGTACGGAGCTCCTTGATCAAACCTGATGAGAGTAGGAACTCTATGAGCTGCCGACGATCTCGACGGTACCGTTCTAGCAGAGAAAGCTGCCGTTCCATCTGAATAATTTAGATATCTGAAGCATACAACAGCTGAAGAGAAAGAGAGAGTCGCGTGTTGGGTTCATACATACAGTGAAAGGGAAAAGGTCCACTTCGGGGAGCGCGAAAAGCCGAGACCAAAAGGACAAGGTTGATGGTTTATGAGATGCTTCTTCGCTAGCGTTGCCCCGTTGGCTCCCATTCGTTTGATTGTTTCTTTTGTCCTCGAGGCTCGTATAATTACATTTTTTTTTTTTATTTACCTCACCATTTGTTCTTACTATTGTTGTTCAAATTTTACTTAAAAAAAAAAAAACTTAATTAATTAATTATTAAGTGACGACAACTGAATGCAAATTTTTATATTTTTCTTCTTTTAAATAAGAAAATCATAATATAAAATAAAAAGTTATGTCCCATTTATAATGTATTTTTTCCTATATTCAATTTAATTCCTCTAGTTATCCTCGGTAAAAACATCATAAATATATTCTCTTGGTAGTGTCATTGTCATGTTTTGCTTCAAAAAAGTTTAAAATTGTACTGAAACTAAAAGCATAATATGTTCCCAACCTTTGCGCGGTTTCAGCAAGAGAGATTTATTAACATTATATACGTAGTGAAAAAATAAAACTCCTACATCCCGTTTTAAGGAGGGTTATGAAAAGGGTCATCAAACACATTTTACAAGTGAAACTAGGACACACACAAGTAATTAAATAACAGCAAAACATCAGTCAATAACCGTTACCTAACTAAGAACAAAACAAATAAAAACTGAAAAAAAAGGCAAATCAGAACTTTGAATAGTGCTGAGAGGCCCTGGCTGATGTTAATATACACAAGACTCAGGAAAGCCAGCGCAAAAACAAGCACAACACTACTACCACAACAACAATAATAAAGCTTGTATTGAGAATACTGCGACGCTGCACATTAAAATGCTCACAAGCTAGACAGGTATGCCGTCTAGGTACATGATCATGCACAATTATTTGAATTTCTTTTATATCTCCTCTGTATCTTGGTTACTACTCTTCAAAATATTGTACTTGCAGAGAGGACAGGTAGCATTTATATATAACCACTTATCCACGCAGGCACAGTGAAAATGGTGACCACAAGGGAGTTCCCGCAGCTCAACTCCATCTTCATATGCTGAAAGGCAGATGCAACACTCCTACCCATTACCATAAGCACAATATTAGTTGCATAACTATCTGAAATGCAGCCCTTTTCTAACCTATTGAATTATAATAATAAGTCACAATGTCACATTAAAAAGTGGAAATAGAATGCAAGTTTATGATGCCATGTATATTCAAGCAAATATAAAATTAAATCCCTGGATATAAACCATATTAAAAGATGAAACTTACTGCATCCTCCTGTGAAAGAACATGCTCACTGGGTGTATCAGAACCACATTCAGTCATTATTCCTCCATGAGAACCTTGTGCATCACTAGTAAGTTTCTCATTATCAACAACTCTACGGAATTTGTATTTTGACAGCCGCTCAATATCTTCTCTGGTAGCTCCTTCCTGATTTAACAGATCAATGAGGTCAAATTAAGAAAACAAAGCAACATATTCACGCATAAGATAATTGAGGTAACCCCAGTAAATCCTATACAACAACCTAAGAGTAAACTGCAGAAGACAAAATATCAATAAAGACAAAAGTACCTGGAGTAGTCACAAAACATATTACATGGACACTTTAATTTTCCAATGTAAATACCTTTTTCCAGTCAAAAGCATTTGCTGTTAACTCAAATCTTAACTCTTACAACAAATGAAATTTTATTTGAAAGAAATCTAAAAGCAGCATATGATGATTACCAAAAGAAAAGATGACTCATAACTCCAAGAAACTGAAAAAGTTTAGCAACAAGCAAAGCGAATGGATAAAACATGCCTATCATTTCTTTCTAAGTGATAATGTAATTAAATAACACCAAAAGGACAGATTTATTCATCTAATAGCGTTCAACAAGGTGATCTGCACTCTCCTTTTCCAGTACAATCTTAAGCAGGGAAAAACCAAAAGAGCACCCAATATAAATAGGTTCCAAATAAGTATTGCACTAATCTAGTTAAGACACAAAGATAAGTCTTCAACACATCAATCCCTCCAGCCTAAAAGCAACCCACTATATATCTTATTCATTTTCAGAATCCATTCCACACACATCCCCTTAAAACAAACAGGGGGAATGAAGGTCACCCCACCTCCATCCCCTTCCCCCAACAAAAAGAGAGAGATGCTGAAGAATATAATGCTAAGTGGATACAAATGCCATAAAAACAAATGGTAGTATACGAAAGCTACCTGGTCTGCAACTGCATATAAGATAGCAATAATACATGGAAGACAACAGCAAACAGCAATGCCAATGATACACGCCAGAGCAACACAGAAAACGACAAAGAACACATCAAAACCCAGGAAAATTATACAAAGCCTGCAAACAAAATCACATTACAGACGTTAGAATACAGTACATTAAATCTAATTTTAAACTGCATTGGAGAAAAAAAGGAGGACAAACCAGTAAAGCTGAGAAGAGTCATGAGCCAATGCTTGACCACCTGCAGATACCCAATAGAATCCGATGATCCACCAGATGAATGAAAACATTGTATTTGCAGATTCCAGATGCTTTGCAACACTGCTGAAATAATAAAAGTAAAATAGATGACCATGTTATTAGTGTTTGATTGTCTCAAATAACTATCACCTGAATATTTTCTGCTCAAGATGATATCAATTAACAAGTTGAATTTTGTCAGACTAGTAGTTAAATAAGTACAACTATGTCAACTTGCCAAAAAATACTGAGAAAATAAACTAAAATAAACCAGAAGTTCAATTTATGTTACATATCACTTTATAATAAAGAAACAAAACCCAATGCCAGAGACTATTTCTCTAAATTTCTGGGAATTTTTATCTCTGTAACATAACCAACATTTAAAAAATTATCAAGCATTCAACCATAGATATGCAAACAAAGCAAACTTTTATCAAAGTGTTCAAACTCGCTTAATAAGAAGCTCATTACTCATTTGTTCAGAAACGAACCAACTCAGGCTTAATTTGATAAACTGGTGTTTGATCTGAAAGACCGCAGTAGCAATATAAATTTACATACAACTTCATGTATTATTATCACGAGATTAATTTGGCACATCAAACAATCATTTCCGTAACAAAACCAAATTATTATATAATCGATCAACATAAGAATAAAACCTCAATCAAAACAACCAATTAACTAATAAACAAAAGAATTCGAAGGCATCAATGCGATAAAAACATAAAATACCTGGTCCCTTCCTCCTCAATTTGGGTTGATAAGCTAACATACTCCCCTGACTCTCCTCCTCTAGCTGAACCTGGACTCAAATTCCCTTCCTCGATCGCACTAAAAGACGAACTTCTCCGTCTTCTCCTCCTTTTATACTCAACGCATACACAAACCATATGCAAAATGCACTGTAACGCGTAGCCGACGATCCACAGCCTCAGCGGCATGTTCGGATTCTCGTCTCTGCTCAAGACTAAAACCGTTACGGCAACGGCGACAAAAGCAAGGTTCCAGATTATGTCCAGGACCACCACCGGCTTCGAATAGGCCCAGTCGCTCTGGCGCTCCTCCAACTGCTCCGCCGCCGTCTCCCGCACCACCATTGAGGGCTCCCGCATCATCCGGCGGCTGCTCGCCCTCCGCAAGAATCGCGCGGCCTCGCGTAAGCTCTGCCTCCTGACGGATCGACGGCTCTGATTGTGGCTGTTGTCATCATTAGAGGCGTTGGGGGAGAGAAACGGCGTCGTGTCGACGATGTCGTCGGCGGATCGGGTAGAAGTTGTGTTCGTGGCGGACATGTTTAAAATATTCGAAATTTGTGGGGACTAAATTAAGCGTTTGACGGAATGGAATTAGTCCATAGAAAGGTGGAGAAGAAATGGATTAATTTGATTAGGGTTTTTTATTTTATTTATTTACTCGTTTGTGTGTCTCTCCGTGTGTGTAAGCTTACAGATATGATGATGACGATGAAAACTTGGGGGCTTTCTTTGTCTTTTGTCGGGTGTAAATGTAACAGTGCGTGCGGTTAGTAAGGTCGTTTTTACTTGAGTCGTTAATAAATGTGATTAACTGGTAAAAGATTAATTAATTAATTACTTTATAGTGATGGGTAATTATTTCATAGAGATGTGACCATTTTAATTAATTATTGACATCACATAACAGATCCCTGAGAAATCGTGGACTGATGAAGTAGAAACGCGTGTCGTTGAAAATGCGGGTTGAAGGTGGGGTGGATGGTAATGATTATGATGAATGTGAACGGAGGAGAAAAGTTACCTTCGTAAATGGTTGGTTTGATCTGAGAGTGGGAGTGGGAGTTTTCCCAAGTGTCCATTTAACATTCCACTCTGCCGCAGCCGCACTCATTTGACACTTGACACTTGTTGTGCAGTTAATATAAACTCACAAAAACAGTATTAATATATATTTCGATGCAAAATAAAAATAATTTTACAACTAAGTTTTTAATCAAAATGATTTTTTTTCAAAATCTACAATGAATAGTACTTTTCTTTTATCCTAGCGTAATTTGTTTTTACTAAAATTATGTGTTTTAAAACAAAAACCGAATTTGCCGAGTCCTATGTTTAAAATTGTTGAATGTGTGTCTCAAGATGTTGCAAAAGAATTGCTAACTTTGTGACTAGATTGATGAGATGGAAGCTAGAGGATAGATACTAGTTGTTGCTAGAAATTAGACATTAAATTTGTTAGCTTCTGTTCATGTAAACGTGCAGCACTTGTTTAGGCTTTTTTTCATGTTTTTTCTGTTGCATATACTTGTATAAATTGCACTTTTCATTCAATGAAAAAATAAGACAATTAGAAGTCTAAATTCATTTTTCTTTCTTATTTTTTGCTGTCATTCTGTTGTTGTTCTTGTGCAAAACAACAACAAATTTGTATCAAAGCTGATTTCTTTTGAGATCTGTAAGAGTTTGTCTTGTGAGTTGACCTTAAACACAAATCAAACAACTCATCATGGCCGCAAAAGCTTATCTTCAACAGCACCACCTTTTGTTTTCTAGAGAGAATTATGAGACTTGGGCTGCCAAGATGATAACTCATCTGTAAGCTCATGATCTATGGGAGGTCGTGGAAGAAGACTACGATATTGCACCATTGCCAAACAATCCTACAGTGGCTCAGTTGAGGGATCACAAGAAGAAGAAGACAAGGAAGTACAAGGCAAAGGCTTGCTTACATGCTGCTCTGTCAGATACATTATTCACCCAAATTATCAAGTTAGTCAGCAAAGATATTGGGACTCTTAAAGAAGAATATAAAGGAAATGAAAGGACCAAAAAATGCAGGTGTGAATCTGAGGAGGAATTAGATGCAGAGAATGAAAGAATCAGAAAATCAAGGAGTACTCGGACAGCTTCTCAGCATGTCAACAAAGTAAGAATCTTGGGGAAGAAATTCGGATGGAGAATCTAGAAAAGATTTGGGTGACTCTTCCTAAGATGAACCAAAATATCTCTCTAAAAGTCTAAGATCTGTCAAGTATTTCCTTGGCAAACTCTTGAATGCATTGCAGCACAAGAGCAAAGAGTGTATCAGAGAAGGGTCTGTGGAAGGTGCTTTACAAGCTATTGCAATTCAGATGATGGCAAAGGAAAGAAAAAGAAGGGAAAATACAATGCCAAACAAGAAATGTTGGAACAAATAGCAATGGAGGAAAACACTCCATGTCAGCATTGGGAGAACTAATCATCCTAATATAAGTGTTGAGGAGGTGATGTGAGGTGGAAAGTGCTCAATTGCCATATGGAAGAGATTTGCAAGAACAAAGGCAACAACAAGAATGAGGCTCAGGTTGCAGACCACAGTGGGGAGAAGTTGTTTGTTGCACCTTTTTCAAGCAGAGCTCGAGTGATTGTTGGTTGATAGATAGTGGTTGACAAACCACATGACAAATGATGAGGAGCTCTTTAGAGAGTTGATAATCTGCAATTTCAAAATGAGATGGAAATGGTACACATTGGTGTAAGGGAGAGGATGGCCATTGAAGCTTGTCAGGTACTAACTCATTACCATGTTTTCTTATGTGCCTGATATTGACCAAAATTTGTTAAGTGTTGGTTAGTTGTGGAAAAGGGTTTCAGAGTGTCTTTTAGGATAAAAATGCAGATAGAAGCAAATGGCCAGGAGGTGTTCACAATCAAAATGAGAGAGAAAAGCTTCTCTTTGATCTAATGAAGAGGAGTTAGCTTTTCCAAGTTTTATGAGCAATGCAGATATGGCACAAAAGCTAGGTCATTTTCATCATGAGCACTTTTGTTCATGCAAGAATGAGTGGCACAAGCTTACCAACTTTGGAGGAGGACTTACGTGATTGCAAGGCCTGCCAATATGGCAAGCAAGTCAGTTGCCATTAAGACTCTTGGAAGCATCACAAAAGCTTCACTCATTCACACTGATCTGGAGGGACCTGAGAAACACCATCATTGAAGGGAAGTAAATATTATAGACATTTATTGATGATTTAACTAGAAGGTGTGGATTTTTTTCCAAGGTTCAAATTGAGGTTGTTTGTGTTCTAGAATTCAAGCATGGATTGAAAATCAAAGTGGTGTAGAATGCAAGTGTTAAGATCAGACAATGGCAAAGAATACACTTCAGATAGTTCAACAGTTTTGTGAGGAACAATAGAGCATCATTTTCAGTTCCACACTCCACAACAGAATGGAGTGATTGAAAGAAAAACAAACAATTATGGAAATGACCAGATGCATCTACATAGAAGGGCTTGCCTAAAGATTTGGGCAGAGGCTGCAAATACTGTTTTTTCTGACTGAATGCTTCCACAAGAACTTTGCAACAAAAACACCTTTCGAAGCCTGCAGGGGTATAAACCACTTTGGAATTTTAAAATATTTGGTAGTTTATGTTTCTCACATGTACGTCAGGTGAGAAGAGACAGCTAGACAAGAAGGCAGAACCTGGGATTTTTATTGCTACAGCACCTCAAAGGCCTACAAATTTCCAACCTCAAACAGAAGATTTGGTAAGCAGAGATGTCACATTCATGGAAGATAGCATGGAGTTGGGAAAGGCAAGGAGACTCAAACTTTGAGTTTTTGAAGTATTTTGAAGATATGTTGATGATGTGCCATCGAGGAACAAGGTTGTGTGAGTTTACCAAAAGGTTGTATTGCTGTCCTTGAGCCGTAGGATTTAAAGAAGCTGAGAAAGAGCAAAGTGGTGAAGCTATGGAGGAAACTAAGAATGAATAGGAAGAATAACACTTGGGAGCTAGTGGAGGCCTCAAAACAGAAAGACTATTGGCGTTAAATGGGTGAACAAAACCAATGAATGCAGATGGTTTGTCAACAAGCACAAGGCAAGGCTTGTGGTAAAGCTATGCTCAGATATTTGGGTGGATTTTCTGAAACCTTTTCACTGTTGCAAGGTTAGATACAATCAAATGTTACTAGCAATTGCAGCTAAAATTGCAAGTGTACCATTGGAGTTAAATCAGCCTTCCTAATGGATTTTAGGAGGAGATATATGTGGACAGCCAAAAGGATTTGCTGTAAAGGAACATGAAGACAAGTGTACTTGCTGAAAAAGGCTCTATACGGTCTTAAACAGCACCAAGGGCTGATACAGTAGGAGAGATGATCTGCGAGTCTAGAATTTGTGAAAAGTCCTAATGAAGCTACCTTGTATGTAAAAAAATTGTGTGACTTGATTATAGTATCGTGTTATTTGATGATTTCTTGTGACAGAAGCAATGAAGAACTTATTAAGGAGTTTAAGGCATATGATAGAGTTTTTTGAGATGACTGACCTTGGCATGATTTCTTACTTTCTTGGAAGGGAAGTGAAGCAAAGTCGAAGAATTTTTTATCTTCAACACAAATATGCAAAGGAGATCCTCAAAAATTTCATATGGAGGACTGCAAAGCCACAATTACTCCTATGAATCAAAAAGAGATTCAGCAAAGAAGATGGAGCTGACAAGGTTGATGAAGGCTTTATAGAAGTCTGTTTGGTGCCTAATGTATCTCAAGCAACTAGGCCTGAATAATCATGTTGTGAGCTTATTGTCTAGTTTATGCATGTGCCATGAGACACACTTTCAGGCTGCAAAAAGGATTGTTAGATATATCAACAGCAAGTCAACTATGGTATTAGATTCTCTCACTATCAAAATTTTAAATTATGGATTTTCTGACAGTGATTGGGCAGGTTCAGTTGATGATATAGAAGTACATTGGATTCTTTTCAGCTTTGGTTCGTGATGTTTTCTTGGTGCTCAAAGAAGCAGATTAGTGGCACAAAGTACTGCAGAAGCGATATGTAGCTGAAATCAGCTTTATGGTTCAGGAAGGTGTCGATAGATTTGCATATGGAGCAGAAGAAGCACCGAAAATTGTAGTATAACCACGCTGCTATAACTATATCTAACAATCCAATGTTTCATGGTAGGACCAAGCATTCAAAAATTAATTATTATTTCTGAGGGATGTCAGAAAGAGGAGAAGTACAATTTTTATTGCAAGTCAGAAGATCAGTTGCTATGTTTTGACTAGGCACTGCCGAAAGCCAGATTTGAGTTTCTAGAGGAAAGTGGGAATTTGCAGCATCTGATACAAGGAGGAGTGTAAAAGTGTGTCTCAAGATCTCAGAGAGTTGCTAACTGGTGACTAGATTGATGAGTGGAAGTGGAGGATAGGTGTTTTAGTTGCTGTTGAGAATAAGTCAAGTTTTGAAGCTATCAATGCTGTTGCTAGAATTAGCATTAAGTTCGTTAGCTGCTCTCATGTAAACGTGCAGCATTTGTTTAGGCTTTTTCATGTTTTTCGGTTGCATTACTTGTATAAATTGCACTTTTCATTCAATGATAAATACAAAAGAAATAGCAGTCTTTTTTCTTCCATTTTTGCTATCATTCTGCATTGCTCTTGTGTAAATCAACACTTCAACATTATTTTGCTGCTAATAGATAAAAACAAACATAAGTCCAGAGGCTGTGTGCATTGCTACACCTATCAGCAGAAACTTTCTGGTGAAGATTTAACATAGTAGGAATCAATATTTTTGTTGGCGAAATTTGATTCTCCATGGCAAATCAGAACCTGATTTAAATAGGCTAATTGACACAGAATTTTGTTAGGCAGATTCTAGCATCATGGCCCGAACATGTTGGTGTTTGTCACGTACGATTGCAGTCCAAAGTGATTACTTCTAGGAAATTTCATCTTCTTGTGTCCTGATCAATTAATCAAACATATTCAAGTGGTCGAAACTGTTTCTGGTGATTTTGAGCTGTCACAAAGTATAGACCTACTTCAAAGAAAGAAAGCAATATGTGCCTGCAGTGGTCCACCTTGTTTTAACCATAATCTATCTTGCCAACCACCTAAATTTCATTCTCCATATATCACATGGTTTTGTATCACATAAGTCCCTGCACTGGGGTAGCAATATTAATGGGACTGTCTATAGCCTTGCAACTATATAACAATCCATTTCATAGACCTTTCATCCAGCAATCACAGAATTTCGTGTTTCAATATCCAACACTCCTTCTCACATTCATTTGAAAAATTTTTATCTAAACAAGACAACATGATCAGTCCAAAGAAGCTAATCAAAATGGCAAAGATCAGAAGTTGCTGCAATTAAGCCGAGAAACTCATTACCAAAAGCACAGGGGTGGTTGATTCAGAAAGTTGCAGCACATCATCATTGGTTGAGAAGGGTCATTTTGTTGTGCACCGCTGATCAAGGCGCTTCGTGATTCCCTTAAAATATCTTAAAACGACATTATTAGAGGCTCTTTACAATGGCAGAAGATGATTTGGACTGCCAAGTGGCGGACCTACACATTGCCTTGTGATGCAATTTCATGGAGTATCAGTCTCTTGATCCAAAGGCATGCAACAAAGAGTTGAGAAGGCGTTGCTCATGTCTTTAGCTACTGGTCGCTGTTTACCATCTCACATCCTCCATCAAACAAAGTAACCAGCCATCACTAATTTGCAGTCTAAAGCCACCATAGTTGGTATTTGTAAACAGTTAACAACACTGGACAAGATAGTGATACATTAATATAACTTGATTAAAATTCCTCCAGTTTGAGATACACCTGAGATTTACTGACTTTCAATTTTTTATTTTTTATGAGCAATATTTCCAATGGAACCTGCCTTGCCCTATACAAATCCCTATTGTGTTTTCGGAGGGTTAATCAATTGAATTCATGGAAAAATATAGAAAATATAGTTTGAACTGCATTTTCTACTTGTTAAGCAGATCGTGGACATCTTTATAATGCTCAAAAACTAAACTATGTTCTCCTAATTTACGTCAGAAAACAACTCTAATTTAACAATGGCATTAACTGCAATGGATATTCAATGATACTATTCTCAATCCTGTGGTTCAAAATGCTTCTCATATATGAACGCATCAGTTTCAGATGTAGCCTACTATAAGTTGCTGAACCACTTGGCAGTGAAAAGAAAAGGTATTTATTCTTGCTCTAGCTTGGTAAAAGCCAAGCATATAGCTAAACTTGTACATGCCAACCACCGCAATAGCTATTTCCATCCTACAATCACATGGGTTTTTTCTTCTGAGCCCCTGCAAACTAGAAGCTGCATTTAAGTACCTTGTCTTTTGCTTTGTGAATCATATATGACTAACCCTCTTCCATTGCCTTCAATCCATCATAATTTTCAATTTTAACATATTATAGTTTAATGTCAAGTATGAATTTAAATTTGTAATTTTTATTAACAAAAAGAAGTCCAAACATCATGCCTTTAACGCCCAGAAAGTTGAGAGTTATTTAAGAGATATTCAAAGAGTTTCGTTCATAGTAAATTACTCATTTAAGAGAAAAGGACGAGTTAATTTATCATTAAGGAATTAATTAAAGATTTGTGATGAATTATAGTTAGTGGAAGAGTTTTAAAATTAGGTTGACACTTTAATATTGTCTTTGAATTTTCAACTTCTCTAAGAGTCCAATTGAGAGTTTTTTTTCCATTGGTTTTAAGAGGTTTTTAATTAGACTGGTTTTGAAGTGTTTTAAAACTATTATTTGCCAAATTTTTTATGCACTGGTTTTAATTGGCTCAAAAACTCTTCAGAACCAATGTAGTGTATTTTTTAAGGGTTTATAAAAAACCCCAAATTTGGGTATTTTTGTTGGTTTTAAAATTTTATTCTACAAATACCATATCCACTATAAAACTATACCAATTATATCCAAAAAAAAAAAAAAAATTTAACTATATTATGCGCATCTCCAACCATATTAAATATAAAATAATTTTAAGTAATCATAAAAGAAAAATTTATTAAAATCTCATTTCTAGATGCTTTCTTAGAGAAGTAGAGCTACAATATTTTTAATCATTCCAGATGCTAGATGCTGTAAAGAATGGCAAAGAAGGATAAAGAGACTTTATAACATTTGAAATTATAAAATACTAAATAAGTAAAAAACAAATAAAGATCTCTTACCTTATAATTGAAGAAAAAAACTCCCAAGTACTAGTTGAAGTTGGGGTATTTTTATGGACATATATATAAATTTATCATTTTAAAAAACTGTCAGAACCGCTGAAAAATAAACTCCCAAGCACATGTTGGGTGTTTTAAAAACCAGTACATAAAACCGCTATAGAAGTTTACTCTCAAAACCGCTATGGTGGTTTACCCTCATAGCCACTAGCACGAAACTTCTAAGCTGACCCTAAAGTGCAAGACTCGATTACACCTTTTCAATTTTATTCCTTATGTTTAAAAAGACTGGAAGGTAACCATTGAATTTTACCCCAATCTTCTACAGAGTATTCCTTGGCATTTGATAAAAGTTGTGCTAGTCTTGGTGTGCCTGACTTAAGAAGAGCAGGTACTGAGCCATTGCTGATAGCGAACTGGTATGATTTGGATCCAAAAAGAAAGGTGGCAAGTAACAGATGTTCAGTATAAATAGGAACGAGGAGGTAAAAAGATTCTGTATACATTCCAGAAGCTATGTAGTCTTGTTCTGAAAAGTTTTCTCAGATTCCATGTGTCTAAATTTGTTCCTGAAGTGATGTACAAAGATAGGGATGATGCATATCATCTGAGAAACAAGGAAAATGCAACTGAAATAGATTGGAAGATAATAAAAAATTAGGCAGTCTGAGCTACACGATTCTTCTGTTTAGGCAGCTCACACATGGTTTGTTCCCCTGCCTCTTGCAACTATATCACCAGGGTAAATTTGGTTGCATGCTGTAACAATGTTATTGTTGGAAACAAGTCACGTGCATTTTCTTGTTACCAGATTGACCATTATATCTGCACTCTCTGGTTGATAATGACTCTGATTTTGAGCCACTAACACCAGCAGATTTGGATCAACATGCCATCAAACCGCGCAGTAGGAAGAACATGAAATTGTTGGGCGTAAGGCTCCACCTGATGTGTCAAATTATTAAAACAACTAGCTGAATTGACCAACTATCTAAATTGCTATGCTTATCTTCATATCAGATGGCTTTGTCTCCCTTAAGTCCCTACATAAGGGTAGCAACATTAAATGGACTATTTCCAGCCATGTGACTATATAAAAAACCCATTTCAGTAGCCTTCAATCCATAGCAAACACAGTATTTCAGTGTTGTTTAGATCCAATACAATTTTCTCACACAACATAAGATCTTTCTCTCTAGTTAACCAGAAACAACATGATTAGTCCAAAGAAGCTAATCAGATTAGCAAAGAAGTGGCAGAAACTGGCGGCAAGCAAGCGAAAAAGAATCTCATTGCCGAGAACCACTGGGGTTGTTGAAGCAGAGAGTTGCAGCACATCTTCAATGGCTGAGAAGGGTCATTTTGTTGTATACACTGCTGATCAAAGGCGCTTTGTGATTCCCTTAAAATACCTTAAAGACAACATCATCAGAGAGCTCTTTACAATGGCAGAAAATGAGTTTGGACTTCCAAGAGGCGGGCCTATCACATTGCCTTGCGATGCAGTTTTCATGGAGTATGTAATCTCTTTGATCCAAAGGCATGCGGCAAAAGATTTAGAGAAGGCACTGCTCATGTCTTTGGCTACTGGTCGCTGTTTGCCAACTTCAAATCTCCACGAAGAGCAAAGTAACCAACAATCACTACTCTGCGGCTTCTAAAGCCAACCATATATAGTTGGATATTTGTAAATAGTTCACAACATCGTTGAAAGATAACTGATATATTGATATAAATTAAGTTACTAAAATTTCTTCAATTTTTAGTTGTTTTTGAGATGAATTGACTTCCATTCTTTCTTCTGAGCCAATATTTCATTCAGATGCATAGAAATCGGAGGAGTAAAAAATAAAATATAGACTTGAAAAATGAACACTTATGAACCGAAGAAAGAAAACTTTTATTTCAACATAAACTTCATACAATCTCCAAACTAAAATACAACTCTAATTCCGCTTTTATAGACTTGTAAAGGGATAACACTGAAACAACATATATAACTAAACAAGATAAAATAAAATAACTTGAATCGTCAGTTTTGACAGTTGTAATTTAAACTAAAAACAAACTGCTGTCTCAAATCTAGACATAACTAAATTTCTTAAAACGTGCCTAGGCATTGAGCATTCTGGAATTTTTAAGTTCAGCTTCTTTTCTACCAAAACGTGTTCAACATTTAACAAAATGTGTTCTCTGTCCACACAAGAATATTCTTGTGGGAAAAGCAAGGAAAAATAAACTACGATTTAATTTCACACTTCAATTCCCACTTTAAAACTTTCAGTTGAAGGATAAGATAGTCCCTCAGGAGCAACATCTTCATTTTTTTTTTACCTCTGTGCAAAATTTCTCCATAGTAAAGTGCCATTTTGTTGTTTTCTTTCTACGTTACTATGGAAAAAAATAGTAACTATTTTTTTCCATAGTAACGTAGAAAGAAAACAACAAAATGGCACTTTACTATGGACTATTTTTTTCCATAGTAACGTAGAAAGAAAACAACAAAATGGCACTTTACTATGGAGAAATTTTGCACAGAGGTAAAAAAAAATGAAGATGTTGCTCCCACAAGATTAAAAGAAGACAAGCTAGAAAGCTAGAAAATCGTCCTCTAATAATCATCTCTATATGGTCAAATGGTTCGATAGGAACTCTTGAATGTATTATTCAAGAGATTCTGAGTTCGAGTTTCTCCTTAATTGCTATTACAGGGGTGGTTACAAAAGCTCTTACTTGGTTGATAGTTCTAGGGTCAAGATTTTTTATATCTAGACACCCGATCATTTAAAAAAAAAAAAAAAAAGAATTGTCCTCCAATGAATTTGGCAATACTCTAGTCTTAGTCTTAGGCTTAATAGACTGTTACACAGACTTTATAGGCTTAATCGTTTTTAGTGTATGTTTTTATTATTCATTCCGGTTAGGGATATGCTAAACTTGTGAATACCCTGGTGCCTAAATAAGTCTATAAATAAAAGTCAAATGGATAAGGATATTTAGGTAATTATGCATACTTGAAGTACAAAGTCAAATAAGTGAAGGGTGTTTAAGTAATAACACCAACTGAATTAAAATTTTCTTTTTTGGTTATTTTATTTTTCTCCCCTACTTCTTCTTCCCCGTCTTCCTTTTCTTTTTTATTAGGAATTATTTGTTTTTTCAACTTAAGTCTGAATATGACTTAATTTACATTTTCCAGATATTTCATNGACATGTTTATTTACAGTATTTGTGATTTGTTTGTTGTTTTTTAGGTCGCCAAGACCCTTCAATGCCGACGACAATTGCCGACAATGGAAGAGGTTAAAAAGAGTAGAAAAAAGAAGGGTTTTTTTTTTTCTTCATAAATCATTGTATTTCCCACCCAAACCAGAGGAAACATAATATTTTGATAGTGAAATGATATTTTAAATGTGGGCAAGTATGAATTTGTCACAAGACTACTTTTTGGGTGGGAACATGTTGTTAACTCTTTCTAAGTCTTTATTAATCGATTGGAGAAATGAGCAGAACTGGATGATATTTGGCCATGGTGCCAAACATTTAGGCTCCGTTTGGTTCATTATTGGGTAGTTTTTAGAGTAATATTTCGAAAAAAAGTTAAATTGGGTAGGTATTACAATGTAGAATTTTAAAAATTAACAAAAATACCCCCTATGTTTATTTATTTACTAAAAACCCCCATAATAAAATATCAAAGTTAACAAAAACACCCCCAACCCACTCATTAAATACGGACAACCGGCCACCACCATCGGAGGGTGGCTGGAGTAGCCGTATCGATGCATGACCAGCTGGATCTTGCCGGTCGTGCGCCGATATGGCCTTTTCCGATCAGATCCACCATGGATCTGGCTGGAAAATGCCAGATCTACGGCTAGATCTAGCCATTGACAGCTAGATTTGGCCGCATTTGGTCATCAATGACGATCAAAGATACGACCGTCGTTGATGACTGTCAATGGCCAAAGAACGGCCAGATCTTTGGTCGTAAATCTGGCATTTTCTGGCCAGATCCATGCTAGATCGGCGCACTACCGGCCAGATTCAGTCGGTAGTGCGCCATTACACCAGATTCCAGCCAGCTTCCGACAGTAGTGGCCGAAATCTGGTAATTTTGGGTTGCTGGGGTGTTTTTGTCAGTTTTTTAAAAAAATTGGGGGTTGTTTAGTTAAATTAATAAATTTAGGGGATTTAAAAGAAATTGAATAATTTGAAATTGTATTTTTAAAACAGGTGAACTAAACACAAATTTTGTGTTAACTTTATTGGGAAAACATGTGTACCAAACGGAGCCTTAGCTTTTGAACCACTCTTTTTTCTTCTTAAAACTTTATTTGAAATTTCTTTAGTTTTTCTTCTTGGCATGAAATTGAGTTTTGTTTTTAATTTTACTGCACTCTCCTTTCTACTTTATTTATTTATTAAGTTTGAAACTATTCATAACTTCGATTTTTTTTTTTTTTAATGGATTGATTTTATCTTCTTTTTTTTTTCCATTGTTTGTAATGCAATTGTTAATTCTAAGTTGCTTAATTTTAAAGGGACGGCGCACGTTAGTAGTGTCAAAGCTGACAGTTTTGCCCTTTTTTGGCCGATCCCGAAGTTAAAAATCACTCTAGACCAGCCACAAAATCATCATCACCTCCTTTACAAAGCTCAAGCCTCCTTTGCCGTCATCACTCACCATTTCCCACCACCGCCTCCATTCACACGGCTGACTCTTCAAGCTAGATTTTCAGTTGATTTTTTTTTGCCAAATTTTTTCCAAACCACCACCTTACACTCCTTACAACCCACTCTAAAAAACCCTTACCTCCATCACCATCCCTGGCTCGCCAATTGTTGGCCGTGGACCATGCGACCTTTCACTGCCAAGCCGATTTGTGGTTGTTTACGGTATCGAAAATCATCCCTACCACCACCAATCAACTCCTGGATCTTCCTCTCCAAAAGCCCTAACATTCTCGATCCTGTTTGCTCACCAATCGCCAATGATTGAAACTTCCCCACCATGGTTTTTGGAGTTTTGATCGATTAATTGGGTTTGATTCGTTCAGTCTTTGGTTCGTTGGTTGAAGACGATTGCGACATTCTTTGGTTCTGGGATGTTTTCTTGGTGCTCAAAGAAGCAAGAATTAGTGGCACAAAGTACTACAAAAGCCAAGTATGTAGCTACTACAATAGTTGTTAATCAGGCTTTATGGGAAGGTGTTGATAGATTTGCATATGGAGCAGAAAGAAGAATAATGCTAGCCTTACTCACTCTCCCTACTCACTTCTCTTACTCACCTTTGTTAAAAAAGTGAAAAAGTGGATAAGGCTAACATTTTAACAAAGTTGAGTAAGAGAAGTGAGTAGGGAGAGTGAGTAAGGCTAGCATTACTCGCAGAAAGAAAGCTCATAAATATTTGTAGATAACCAAGCTGTTATATCTATATCCAACAATCCAATGTTTCATGGTAGGACCAAGCATTTCAAAATTAAATTTTATTTTCTGAGGGATGTGTAGAAAAAAAGAGAAGTACAATTGTTTATTGCAAGTCAGAAGATCAGGTTGCTGATGTTTTGACTAAGGCACTACCTAAAGCCAGATTTGAGTTTCTAAGAGGAAAGTTGGGAATTTGCAGCATCTATTACAAGGAGGAGTGTTGAATGTGTGTCTCAAGATGCTACAAAAGAGTTGCTGACTTGGTGACTAGATTGATGAGGTGGAAGTTGGAGGATAGGTGTTTTAGTTGCCATTGAATAAGTCAAGTTGAAGTTGTCAAATTAGCTGTTGCTAGAAATTAGGCATTAAGTTCGTTAGCTTCTGTTCTTGTAAACATGAAGCACTTGTTTAGGCTTTTTTCATGTTTTTTCTGTTGCATTTACTTGTATAAATTGCACTTTTCATTCAATGAAAAAATAAGACAATTAGAAGTCTGAATTCAATTTTTCTTTCTTATTTTTTGTTGTCATTATGCTGTTGTTCTTGTGTAAAACAACAACAAAAATTTTCTTTTGAGTACATTGATACAAACTAAAACTAAAATGTAGAAAAAAACAAATGCGTAACCATTAACCAAAAGAAAAACTAAAGATTTTAAGCCATTATCAACCGTAGACTAGTCTTCCAGCCACCTAACATCTTCATTTTCCACCGTTAATGATGGGGTATTTGTCCAACAATTCGGCTTCCGATAGGTGGTTAAGTATTTTTTATTTCTAAATGAGTTAACTACATGTTCCCACCCAAAAAAATTGCCCTTTGACAAATTCGTACCCCCCCACTTTTAAAATACTTTTTTACTACCCAAAGCATAATTTTGTTAGTAATTTTCATTGTGAGAAAGGGCAAAATGGTCAAAAGTCTGTTATTAGTGCAGGAAAAATTTTCAACAAACATTTGGCCGCTAGAGAAGAAGAAAAGAAAAAGGGCGCGCACGTTAGTATTGTCAAAGCGACAGTTTTTGCCCTTTTTTTTGGCCGATCCCGAAGTTAAAAATCACTTCTAAGACCGCCACAAAATCATCATCACCTCCTTTCAAAGCTCAAGCCTCCATTGCCGTCATCACTCACCATTTCCACCACCGCCTCCATTCACACGCTACTCTTCAGCTAGATTTTCAGTTGATTTTTTTTTTGCCAAATTTTTTTCCAAACACCACCATTACACTCCTTACAACCCACTCTACAAAACCCTTACCCCATCACCATCCCTGGCTC